GACCTCAGAGAGAAGCTCTTCTCCCCAGCTGCCTTCACTGCATCACATTCAACACCCCGCAGAAGGCACTTGGAGCAGAGCTTCTCTTGTCCTTACTAGTTTAGTTCCGAAATTCAATTGTTGTAAAAATGGATAAATATAAAAATAAACTTTTTGCTATGAAAACTAGTTGATGCTTTTTTAAAAAGCTCTATAAGAAAATACTTTTTTAAGAATTATTTTGGGTTAGTTGTGAACCAAATGGACATAAAACATGGGGTAATGTGCAGAAATTGTTTTTTTAAGATTGTACCATTCTGCACTCAGTCTATTAGAAACTGCCAAATCTGGAGGTGATCAGTAGTAAATTATGGGTGTGGTTTGAGCACAGAGCCCCAGTGATCGGATCTCAAAGGAAAGACTTTGCTCTACATTTTAAATGACATATTCTTATACATTTAGGCTTTAGGTGAAAGTAACACGTTTAAGGTGTGTTTCCCTTTCTTTAGCCTGTTTTTTCATTTAGCAGCCACCACTTTTGTCTGAGACCATGTCACTCATTGCTCCACACTTTGCATATGGCTGTCTCCCGCTCTAGTGCCCATGTCTGGACGGGGTGGCCTTCACCATCGTATCTATTATCCTGCCCTTGACTGCTACACATTAAGCCCTTAGAAATATGTGTTCAGTGAATGATTGAAAAAAAACAGAGAGAGCTGGAATTTCAGCCCCAGCCTTGCGAGCTTCAGAAACCTTGCTCTTCCTAGGACCCGGCCTCCTTCCTTATTTGGACAATGGCTGAATCTCCAAACCCTGAAACCCTCCCTGGCACGTTGAGAGGGTCATCTTCATTTCCTTTCTCTTTCCTACAAAAATCTTACTCAATCCAGTCTCTGGACTGAATGCAAACATCATTCACTCACTGAATGGCAGGTCTAAAGTCGTCTGAGACTCTCACATTTCATCTCCTGAGTATGATGGAGCCTGAGCCAGAAGGCAAGAAGCGGGTTGGTGGTAAGAAGAAAGTGGAACTAGATTCAGAATGGATACAGGAGATGAAGGTAAAGACGGCACAGTGTTGAAGCTCTCACTTTGGGTACTTGTTCTTGGTTTTTTTTTTTTAGGGGGGGGAGGTGCTGGTTTGGGGGTTTGGGTTTTTTGGTATGTGAGGCACACACACCATCAGAGCTGGCAGGACCACACACAACATGAACACAAACAAGAAAAATGTGGATACTACCTGGAGGTTCACCAGACTGGGAGTGTTATTGGCAGCCCCAATAGGGTTTTTATTAGGATTTATTGAGATTCTTTGGCCTGCTGGGTCTGTAATGGACAATTGGATGTAAAGGAGGAGAATAAAGAAAATATATGATATAGGTCCCTCTCCTAAATAAATTAGAATCTATATCAAAAATCAATTACACAGTGAATGGATACATCCATACAGTGGAATATTATTCAACACTAAAAAGAAATTATCTATCAAGCTGTGAAAAGACACAGACAAAACTTAAATGCATAACACTATGTTAAAGAAACTAACCTACAAAGGCTACAACTATATGATCCCAACTCTATGACATTCTATGAAAAGTGAATAACCAGGGACAGTACAAATATCAGTGGCTTCTATGTGCTAGGCAGAATGAAAAGAAAAATAGGCAGAGAGAAAAGATTTTTAAGACAGTGAAACTATTCTGTAGAAGACTACTACAATGGCAGATGCATGTCATTACAGCATACGTCCAAACCTACAGAATGTATGACAACAAGAGTGAAGCCTGATGTAAACTAGGGCCTTGGAATTAGAGAAATGCAAATCAAAACTACTCTAAGATATCATCTCACTCCAGTCAGAATGGTAGCTATTATGAAGAAAACAACAATAAGTTGGTGAGGATGTGGGGAAAAAGGTACACTCAGGTACATTGCTGGTGGGACTGTGAATTGGTGCAGCCAATATGGAAAGCAGTATCAAGATTCCTTGGAAATATGGAAATGGAACCACCATTTGACCCAGCTATCCCTCTCCTTGGTCTATAACCAAAGGACTACAGGGGCACATACAGCATACTACAGAGGCACATCCACATGAATGTTTATAGCAGCACAATTCACAGTAGCTAAACTGTGGAGCCAACCTAGATGCCCTTTAGTGGATGAATGGATAAAAAAAAAATGTGGCATATATACACAATGGAATATTACTCAGAAATAAAAGAGAATAAAATCATGGCATTTGCAGGTAAATGGATGGCACTGGAGAAGATAATGCTAAGTGAAGTTAGCCAATCCCCCCCCAAAAAAACAAATGCTAAATGTTTTCTCTGATATAAGGAGGCTGATTCATAGTGGGATAGGGAGGGGGAGCATGGGAGGAATAGACGCACTCTAGATAGGGCAGGGGTGGGAGGAGAAGGGAGGGGGCAGGGAGTTAGCAAGGATGGTGGAATGTGATGGACATCATCATCCAAAGTACATGTATGAAGACATGAAAAAAAAAAAGAAACTACGACCTTGGGTGTGTCAGTACGTCGTCCATCAATTGGAATACGTGTACCACTCTGGCGGAGGATGTTGATGGTAGGGAATGTGAGGGTGGACATTGGGGGTGTATGGAAATCTCTGTATTTCCACTTAGTTTTGCTGTGACCTGCTCTAAAATGTGAGATTTGTTTTTAAAAACCAATCATGTGGTATATTTACAAAGAATGATACTATGAAGTCACAAGTGTAAACAGGTCTCAGAATGTTAGAATCATTGATCATGAACTAATAATTATGACCCAAGTTCAAAAAATAGACATTAGAGTGGAGATGGGAAAGACATAGTAGACCTGGTGCCTTCAGTAAATATGTGCTGAGAACATACAATGAATGCCCCAGGTCCTGGACACACAGGGGCAGACAGAACAACGTCTTTGCTCCCAGGGACCTTATGTTCCATCAAAGAGAGAGCCCGAGTCCAAAAGCACTATTCAGTGCCACGGCAGCTATTATTGCATGGCACAAGGAGAAAGCAGCATGAGGATTCTCCAGCTGCTGGGCTGAGAGTGGAGTTGCTCCCATACCCACAGGGCATTTGGGGAAGGCCTGTGGGGCCAAGTGCCACTTGAGCCTGAGCCATGAAGATACCGAGGGGAAGGGCATCCCAGGCAGAGCCAGGAAAGGCCCTGAAAACTTCACCTCAAGGACAACTGTGAGCAAGTGGCAGAGGGATGGGGAATGGGTACCTTAGGTCCCGAGATGTGTTAGTCAACTTTCCATTGCTGTGACAAAATACCTGAGACCGTTCATTAAAAGGAGAAAGATTTATTTTTGTTTGCAGTCTATGGTCACTTGGTCTTGACCCTTTGGGCCTGTGGAGAGGAGAAACATTACAGTGGAGAATACGGTGGAGCAAATCCTCTCACCTCTTGGCACCCAGGAAGCAGAAGAAAGGAAGGGAAGGGCTGGGGTCTTCATATATCCTTGAAGAGCACACCCCCAATATCCTACTTCCTCCAAGTAGAACTTACCACCTGAAGTTTCTTCCATCTCCCAGCAGGGCTATCAGCTGGGGACCAAGCCTTCAACACATGAGCAAAAAGGGGACATTTAAGAAGTTAACCATAGCTGGGTGCCATGGCATACACCTGTAATCCCAGCAATTCAGGAGGCTGAGGTAGGAGGATCATGAGTTCAAAGCCAGCCTCAGCAACAGTGAGGCCCTAAGCAACTCAATGAGATCCTGTTTCTAAATGAAATACAAAATAGGGCTGGGGATGTGACTCAGTGGTTAAGTGCCCCTGAATTCAATCCCCAGTACCCAAAAAATAAAGATAAAAAAGAAGTTAACCATAACACCAGCTCACTGGGTAGAGCCACTGTCTCAAGGACACACAAAGCCTGTATTAGTCAGGACAATGATCATCACCTGCTGAAATTAACATCCTTTCCCAAAGCTTGCAGGCTTAATAAGCAGATGTGTATATCTTGCTTACTTCACATCTTATTTTCAGTCTTATTAGCTCTTTGGAGTGACGTTTCTCCAAAGTGGGTCTGAGGAATCTGGGCCCTTTCATCAGGGGTCATCACTACCCCTGATGAAAGGTTTTTGGTTTTTTTTTTAGTCCAGTTTCCTGGACAGATAGTAAAGCCAGAGTCCAGGCTTAAGTTCCATGACCGAAACAAGTCACACGACCCCCACCTAGCTGCACAGGAGCTGGGAGATATTATTCCTGCTGCACCGAGAGGAAAAGCAATCAGCCACCCTCACTCAGCCCCCTTTATGTAATGAGGTGGCCTCCATGTGACAGAGTGGAAGAGAACAGGAAACGGACGCTGTGTGCCGAGGTGCAGACTCTTCAGGCCTCCAGTCAAGGATCGGGCTGCTCAGTACTCTTTATCTCCTGGGCCTGCCTGTAGGGAGGAAGTCCATAAACAGTCCAAACTCTCCAGGTTGTAAGGGACATCGGGAAGGATATTGGAAGCCCTTACATACAGTCTTCAGCTTCCTCATCTAATGAATTAAAGAAAACTGACTTGCTCTCTTACTCCAGCTAGTCTAGCTCACTCCACATTCTTCCTACACTCCAGTGGAGGACACACATCCTTCCCAACAGTTGATCACACACAAGGCCACAAAGCAAACCTCAGCAGACACTGAAGAGCTGATACCACATCATAGACTCTCTCCCTAATGCATTTTAATTAGTAATGCTAACAATGTAAACAAAGGCACTCCATACACTGGCAAATGTAGTACCACTCATAAGTAATTTGTGTACAAAAGAACGACTCGTATTGAAAGAAAAAATAAATGAATTTTAAAAAATAATTTTGAAAATATTATGAATGGAGTAAAAATGAAAGGTAGATATCTCCACTCGTGGAAAACAGCTAACACAGTATTTTGAGAGGAACCTCGTAGTCCCGTCTGCTTATGTAAATAAGGAGGATGGTTATAAAGAAAAAGAAAGATGAAGATCAATATGTTCAGCATCCACTTCAAGGAATTAGAGAAATAAAATAGAATAACCTAGAAGACCATCAAAAAGGTTCTTATTGGTAACAAGAACAGAAACTGTTTATTCTGTTCAGTAGAACAATTAAATAAACAATTCAATAGAATAATACAGTAAACAATATGTTTTAGTCAGCTTTTTCACTGCTGTGACTAAAGGGCCCAACCAGAACAATTGTAGAGGAGGAAAAGCTCCTTTGAGGGCTCAGGGTGTCAGAGGTCTTAGTCCATAGAAGGCTGGCTCCATTCCTTGGGGCTCCAGGTGAGGCAGAACGTCGTGGAGGAAGAGTGTGGCAGAGGGAAGCAGCTCACAGGGTGATTAGAAAGCAGAGAGAGAGAGACTCCACTTGCCAGATACAAATATATACCCCATAGCCAGGCCTCCACCACTTCCTCCAGCCACACCCCACCTGCCCCAGTTACCTCTCAGTTAAATCCATCAGGGATTAATTCACTGATTAGGTTAAGGCTAGTACCCAATCATTTCTCCTCCAAACCTTCTTGCATTATCTCATACGTGAGCTTCTGGGGGACACTTCATACCCAAACCATAAAATAAATAAACCATAAACTTGTTCTTTGAAAATATTAGTTATAAAAATAGACAAAGTTCCTGACAAGTTTGATACAGAAAAAAAATAAAGAGAAGGCATAAATAATATAAAGGAATGAAGGAGAGGATATAACAGAGGCAGTGGAATATTTTTTAAAAACAGTATATGACAAAATTTTAATGAAAAAAAATTGCATAAAATGAACAATCTCCTAAAAAATATAATTTACTAAGACTAAGAAGAAAATTGTAAAAACCTGAATGGACCAACATTATGGGTTGAATTGTCCCCCTCCCCCTCCCCCCAAAAGACAGGTTGAAATCCTAACCTCCAGCACCTCAGCATGTGGCTGTATCTGGAAATGGAGTCTTTGGGGTGTAATTAATGACATTAAACGAGGCCATGCTATAGTAAGGTGTGCCCCACCTTTAACACCACTGGTGCCCTCCCAAGAAGACACAGTGAAGATGCCGGGATGGGGTGATGTACAGACAAGCCACAAAAGGTCAAGTCGCCATCGATTCCTAAGAGTCGAAGGTGGGGAAGAGGATCTTCCTAGCAGCCTCCAGGAGGAAGCAACCCTGTGGACACCATGATGTCACGCTTCTGGCCTCCACAGTGGTGAGGGAATATATTTCTGTTAACATCAGCTGCCCAGCTGGCTGGACTTGGTTCCACCTGCTAGGAAATTCAAAGGACCAATAATCGTTGGGGTGAGTGAAGTGAGCACTTCAGTCTGTATGGGTGTGCATGGGTGTGTGCATGCACGTGTGTGTGCATGCAATCAGAGCAGCACGTGGTCACACAAAGAGCAAGCAGATGCAGGGTCTGAGTGCTTTAGTGACCTCACCGTGCTCTGAAGCAGGACAGTCAGCACCTGCGTGCTTTTCACAGACATCTTTTCTTTCTCAGGTGCGTAAAGGAGATGGAAAATTAATTCTCTACCCCAACGAGAACATCTTCCAAGTTCTCTTTCCTGATGGGACAGGACAGATACAGTATCCACTGGAGCAGAGACATGCTCATATGGACACAGACTGGCACCTACAATGTCTGATTCAGGGCTGGGGAAGGGTTTGAGGACTGTGTCCTCCAGGGAGTCCCAAGGGACTGCTTGTGCCTTAACCAACGCCCAGCTATCCATCAGGAAGGCTCGCGCTGCTCATCTCCTGCACAGATGGTGAAGAGTTCACATACATCATTCTGGAAGACAGTCTAGAGGCTAGCATCCGGGCCCTCGTCAATAACTCTGGCCATGCCACCTTCAATGATGAAAATGGATTTATCTGGTAAGCTTGAGTCATGTGTCCCCAGTACCCAGCCCGCAGGGTAGTAGTGCCCTGGAAGTTTGATCTCAGTCTGCACCGCCCTCCTACCTCCCTGTCTCTAAACTCCTGTGTGCTGGGAACAGGACAAAGGGTAACATGGGGGATGAATACAATAGGTCCTGCCCTCAGAGAAGGAGCAAGGTCCTTGTGGCACCATGGCCTCCTGGCAAGGGGTGGGGGTAATGTTAAAAGCAATCACAGACTTAGTTTCATCTTCTAAATGCCTCCTAAGAGTTGAGCCCTCTATGAATTACCTCTGATGACTCAGGGGTGCCGGGGCTGGGGACAGGGGGCGGGGAGGCGGGGCAGGTCCAGGAGATGCTGACAGCTTTGGAGATATTGTGTTGCATACAGAATCCACAGTGAAAAAGGCAACTTCTAAATATTTCATTAGAATCAAACTTAGTTCTTGAAGTTCCCAATTCTGGTGATGGTTGTATCTGGCAGTGTGCAGCTGGGTCTCTTCTCCCTAACAGCATGCATTTGGAGGACCAGAAGAGAACTTGGAGAAATCTAGCAACTACTTTTATTATATTAATGAAGAAACTTAGTGCTGGGGCTATGGCTCCATGGCAGAGCATGTGCCTAGCCTGTGTGAGATACTGGTTTTGATCCTTAGCACTGCATAAAAATAAATAAATAAAATAATTGTTTAACAAATAAAAAAGAAACTTGGGTTCAGAAAATGATAAGTCACTTGTCCCATGTCATACATAAAACTATAGGGAAGAAGTTTTATGGCATTTTGACTCAACCTTTACAAAGCATTTTTTAAAGTCATCAAATTAGGTGTAAAAGAGAGATCACATCTCTATCTCTGAACCTCAAAGCCCATCAAAACCCAAGGGGACGGATGATATTCAGAGCTGGGTCAGGACAGGTCCCCTCCCCATGATTCTGGTTCTGTGGGTCTGGAGTGGGACCTGGAAGTCTGCACTCTCTAAGTGCTTCCAGATGATTCTGGGGCTTAGACGAGTATGGTTGCCAAGGTCTCGACTTCGTGGGGGGACAGCAGCAGCCAGTGCTTTAAGTCTCTCCTCCAGAGGAGCCTTGTTCCGAAGTCTCAGGCCCTGGCCTCATAGCCAGTCCACCACCCAGCCATCCCTAACTCCTCATCTCCCACCTCTCTCCTTGGGACCTGCTTCCTATTTGCTCTTTGAAGATCTTCAAAACCCAGGCTAACCCGCACTCAAGTGCTGCCAAGAGCTGGAGAAATCCCAGCAGCTTCCCCTTCTGACTCTGTACTCCCCCTCAAAGGAGAAAATAGGGCAGCTAAGAACTGGGAGGCTTCCTGGCATTCAAAGCTAGCTGGTCAGAGTAGGAATGGGCTTCGCACTCACTGGCAAATGGCGCTTGCAGTGTCTAGGCCATGGGGCCACAGGCCAGGATCCAGCACACCCAGCACGCCCTTGACTCTTGCCTGGTTCCTCTGCCTGCTGGCCGGCAGCTCCTGCCTCTCCCTTCTTTGTCCTGGCTGCCCTACACGAGGAGAAGCCCCTCAGTGTTGTTCCTGGTACTGCTCTTGCCCTTTCTCTTGGTGGTGGACGGATCACTAAGCCCCTCAGCAGTCACACCACAGGGCCAGACCCTCTTCCCAAATGGGTCCCTCCACCCTCTAAGCTGGTTTCTTTCCTAGGGACATCTGCACCACAGAAAAATGTGGTCCATAGCGAGTCGGTCCAGTCCCTGAGAGAATTCTTCAGCAGGACTGTGTCCCATGGTCACAAGGAGATTTTGAGCAAGATCTTCTGACTCATTTGGGAACACAAAGCTGCTGGCCCAGGACCCCAACCCTGGCCTCCAGGAACTTCTGTACATCTCTGTAGCCTTTACACTGGAAGGAAACTTCTTGCGGTGCCTCGGACACAGGGCAGGATCTAGAGCTGAGCTGTTTGAGGACTGAGTACTTCTTGAGTCATTTTTTTGATTTCCATTTCCTCAGGGAGGGTAGAAGGAATGAGCTGTGATTTGCCAAGTGTGTGGAAACTAAAACCCAGCCCCATCCCCAACGTGGTCCCCAGTCTCAGACCAGGCTTCCCCCAGGCTTCAGGGTTCTCACACAGCAAAGGGACAGACCCACCTAAACTCAGGGTCCCTGTGGGCATAGTCTGTCTGCCTTCTCCACGGTACAGGGCCTCCACTTCTGGAGCCTCCAAATTCTGACCACCTCTGACTGTTCTAGATCTGTCTCTGGAAGTCTTAGCCTAAAGTTGCTAACCCTAGAGCTTTGTGGAGCCACTTAAAAGATTAAAGGGCACTGGGCACGGTAGGTAGAGCACACCTGTAATTCCAGCAGCTTGGGAGGCTGAGGCAGGAGGATTCCCAAGTGCAAAGCCAGCCTCAGCAAATTAGTGAGGCCCTAAGCAACTCAGCCAGACCCTGTCTCTAAATAAAAAACATAAAGAGGGCTGGAGATTTGGCTCTGTGGTTAAGTACCCCTGGATTCAATCCCTGGTCCTAAAAATAAAACAAACAAACAAAAAATCTACCTTCTCCTAACTTAGGTCTTGACATCACTTTCCCACTTCCTTCCATTCCTCAGAGATATTGCAGCCCCAATGGCACTGATTCCAGGGACAGCCCTGGTGAGGTTCGAAAAGCAAAAGGCAGAACAAGAAGAATACTGGAGGAGGAGGGAGGTTAGGCTGAAAGGTCAAGAAAGGATGGTTTGAAAGTTAGGCAGTCCCTAAAGAGTAGGGATGGGTGAGGGGGGAACCCACCCACCCTCCAACCCAACATCCACTCACTTGGCACCTATCCATGTATGTGCTTGCACAGGGCTGGGCAGTGAGAATTCAGCAGGGTCCCCACCCTTCAGGAGGTTACATTTACTATTTGTGGCAGTTTGGGTCCATAAAGTCACTAAGTACTGAATTAGCCAATAGACCCTATCGTTCCTTGGGACGATATGTGCTTATACACACGTCACCTGGTCAAGGACATGCAGAGCTGCAGAAAATTTGAGTTGCTGAATGTGCACGTTCTCAGCTAAAGTAGAGGGGGTGACTCTGCCTCCTCATCTCAGTTTTCACCCAGAAATGACCAGAGGGCACAGAAAGTGGGAACAGGGCAGCACAGTCCAGGAACCTCCTGCTCCAGGGCCAGTTGGCCAGGGTGTGGCTCAGCTCTGACCCTAGTTAGTGGAATGGCCTCAGACAAATCACTTGACGTTTCCCAGCCTTGTTTTCTTTTAGTAAAATAAAGAAAGAATTTTGCAGGATGCATTGTTTTTAGGATCTACAATATCATGTTGTGTGAGGCGGGTGTGTACAGTAGAGCCCCCTTCTCTGCAGTTTCGCTTTCTGCAGTTTCAGTTATCTGCAGTCAACCATGGGGGAGAAGAGGGTGAGTATGGTATAATATAATATTTTGAGAGAGAGAGAGAGAGATCACATTCACATAACTTATTACAATAAGTTGTCTTAATTGTACTATTTTATTATTAGTTTTTGTTGTTAATCTCTTACTATACCTAATTTATAAATTAAAATTTATCCTCAGTAAATATGTATAGGAAAACAATGTGCACAAGGCTCAGGAGTCACCTGCATTTCCAGGCGTCCCCCGGGGTCTCAGCATGTGTCCCCTGTAGATATGTGAGTGTGTACTTGTGTACAGCACAGTCTTCCTGAGGGGCTATGGGTCCAGTATTTCCTAAATCAGTGACTTTACAGAACGTAACTACCATGAACAGTGAGAACGGACGGTAGGTAAATTCTATGCAGGAGACTGACAAGGGGTGGGCCTGGAGAGTCCCGGAGAGAACTAGAGGGACTGGTCCAGCTGAGACTTAGTGAGCAGTGCCAGCTGTGTCGTGTAAGGTGGGAGAGCTTTCCGGAGAGAAGAGCATGGAAGGAGGTAAAGGGTGCAGGGGGCCCTGGAAGAAATGTCAGTCACCATTGTCCAAAGGCAGGGAGCAAGAGCCACCAAGCAAGGCTGAGCAGAGGGTATGCGGGGGCTGATGGCAGCTCCTGCTCTTGGGTCTTTATTTGTTGGAACCTCTCCTGCCCGCCAAGACCCTGTGGGCATTTCTGTGGCCCAGGAAGGGAAAAGGCAGGAGAGAGAGGAAGAGAGGGGCCGAGCCCCGCTCTCGCACAGCGGGGGGCGTTCCCCAGTCTGCAGGGCTTGGCTGCATCTCCCGATGCACCTTCTCCTCTAGGTCAAGCCTGAGCAGCAGCCTGGGCTACTACTTCCCCAAGGGCAAAAACCAGAAGGCCTGGAACTGGTGGAATCTGCAGGTCCACGTCCACGTGCCCCCTTTCCAGCCCATCTCCTTGAAAATCAACAGCTACATCCAGGTGTACATAAGAAACCAGGACAAGATCATCTTCAGCTTCCTCCACCAACAGAAGCGGTTTCGTTTAAACCTGGGCACCAAGTTCAAGGTAAGTTCTCCACTGCCCCCACCCTCTGTTGGGTGGTTTTTCTACCTGCACACAGGCTGCAGCTGGCTTGGCCTGCCCGTGCCATGGGCCTCAGGGCCACCTCTGTGTCACACTAACCCATAGAAAGACACGGCCACCCTCACTCACCTGGTGCTTACCCATATGCACACGCTTCTCTGATAATTTTCCAGCACCATGAGCGTGAGAAGGGTGGAAACCGACTTCCCAATAACTCACTGTGAAAAAAGATGTCAGTAGGCATCACCTCACTCGATGCTCTCAGCAGCCCAGTCAGATGGCAGGGCCAGAGACAAGGGGGGTCTGTTCTCTCCTCCCCCAACACACTCGCCCCAAAACAAATGGCCACCTGGAAGTCTGACGCGCCCTCGCAGGCCAGGCAGGAAAGCGGCGGTGGTTTACTCTCTCCCAGAGCTGCTGGATGAGTGACACAAATTGGGAAACTTAAAACTCCAAAAGCTTCTTGTCTCTCAGTTCTGGGGACTAAAAGTGTGACATGAGGATGTCAGTGGGGTCACCAACGTCCAAAGGCTTTGATGGAGGATGCTCTTGTGCCTCTCTAGCTGCTGGGGACTCCTGGTGTTCACTTGTGGCTGCATCCTCTGACTCCATCCTCACCTGCCATCCCCTCTGTGTGTCTGTGTGAAAAGATCTCTTCTCCTTTCTCTTCTGTGGACAGCAGTCATTGCAATTAGGGCCCATCCTAAATCCAGGAAAATCCCATCCCAAGATCCTTAATTACTCAGGATATAATAGTAAAATACGGTATTTCTAAACAAGGCTACATTCACAGGTGTGGGAGCGAGGGATTAGGTCTTGGGCAGATCTTTTGGGATGATGTAATTAAGCCCCCCATAAATGGTGCGTCTAGTCCTCTGGATTTCTGACTGTAGAAGATGGGCTCTTGAGACCCTTTCTGAGGACTAGAGGCATCGAGGGGAATAAGGGGGTCCTTAGTGCCCCCAGTGAGATCTTAACAAGACCCTGTTCTTGCTCCAGCTCCCCTTCCCCATTCCACATGGAGGACTCTACTCACAGATCCCACCGGGGTGGCACATAGGCCTTCAGAAGTCCAACCACCAGGGAGATAGAGAGACAGACATGTCTCCTGGAGGTGAAGCAGATGGAAAAGCAGCCCAACAGCAGATTAAACTGCCCAAATATTATTTGAGAGGAGAGGAGGGTAGGTTTAGGGTGACCAGTCACCCATTTGCCAGGACCAAGGAGTTTCCTGGACATTAGACTTTGAGTGCTAAAACTGGGAAAGTTCCAAACAGGCCTGGCCAGCTGGTCACCCCGGTTCCCTTCCTGGCAGAGCCTGCCATTTTGCAGGCTAAGTAATGATGTCACAACATCCTTGCCTATTCTGGATTCCCCTGAGCAGCCTCCCCCCGAAAGAGGAGGCCAGCGCTGCTGTCCTGGGTCACCCACTCGCATCCATGCCACAGCAGCTACAAGCTGAAGAGGAGCCACCCAGGGCTGGAGAGGGCATGAAGGCCTTCGAGTGGTGGTGGGTTTCCCTGAGGGAAGAGAGCCATGAAAAGAGGACTAACCAGAAAGGGTGGAGCCTGGGAGGCCTAACAGGCCCAGGGAGCTGGGGTACCCTTGGGAAGCTGCCCCAGTGGAGGGGTACAGAAGAAGCAAATCAGCACAAATGTAACTCGTTAGAACAACAGGAAGGAGACAGAGCTGGGGCCCAAGTTGGGCAGCCAGGAGGCCCTAAGAAGAACTTGCCCTTCTACACCCACCTCTCTACTTCCTGGGTGATGTTAGCTTCGTGTCTCTTCTTCTGAAGAGACGCAGGTTATTATATGGCTTAAGTAAGGTACTTTGCATGAAAACATTTCATCAGCCTCATAGAAGTAGAACATACTGGTGTTATTCTCCCTCCGGGAGTCTCTTTATCAACTTCGACAAGCCACACACCAAGGCAGAAATGGACATTGAAGTGTCCTCGTTGGGGCAAGGCCTCATTCCAACAAAACCCGGATACACTCCCAGTGAGCCTGTGGTGGAGTCGGGCTCCCTGGCAGACACTGGCCCTGGAGATGCAGCCTCTGGAAGGCAGGCCAGTCCAGGGCATAAGAGCTGGTTTCTCTCTGGTTTGGGGTCAGGCTGACATGTGGCTGCCACCCACATCACCATGGCCCAAGTGGCCATAGGCACAGGCCAAGTGAGTGTGTTTGGTGACACATCAGAAACGCTACCGGTGGCAGTACTGGGGAGATAGATCAGTCCCGAGGGTGGAGGTTCCAAGGGGGAGGCAGGACTGCAGAGGCACTAATGTCACCTGGCCTTCTGTGAATCCCACAGTTCATAAACTCAGAGGTGCTGCAAGACCTGAAGGAGAAAACAATCCTGGAGGTAGATCCTGGCACAACAGCTCGGAAGGTCCAGATCCTTCTGGGAAAAATGATTAGGATCCTGAACTTGCTGACCATGTCTGATTTGAAAAACTTCACAGAGGCCTCCAAGATGTGTCTCATGGCTTTAGGAACCAAGAAGAGATCTCGATTCTGTTTGTAGGGCAGTCACCAAATTCTCCCAGGCCTTATATATCATCCACTGAATGTCTTGGGAAGGGGGAATCCTCAAGAGCTTCAGGGAAGTCCCAGATCTATCTATTATGTCTTTGAGAGTTGGTTTGTAATTTGGGATCTGTTACAGTTCCTTGGTAAGAGGAAAAAAAAAAAAAAACAAGAATGAAAGCAAGCTTTGAGGGACTGACAGTATGTGGCTGGGCACTGAGAAGATCTCCTAGTCAAAACCTGACAGCTTTGGGAGCACTGTGTCATGTCAGTAAGCAATACACGTCCACACCCGCTCTGCATGCTCCTACCAGTCACTGCCATCCAGAAATTCTTTTGCAGTTCATTACCTGCCTTGACTCAGGATAGACTGTCCAGCTCTGCCCCTTATTGGCTGTGTGCCCTGGGTCAAGTAACTTTATGTCTCAGTTTCCACATCTGTAAAATGGACCTAGAAACAGTATCTACCACTAGAGTGGGGAGTAGTGAAGAACTTATTGCATGTAGCAACCCTGGAATACGGTCTGGCCATTAGACACCAGTCAGTGAGTTTCTCTAATTACTGTCACGGGGCCGCTCCCTTTATACCTGGGCAGTTCCAGGGAGGTATCTGTCCAGTGTGCATTAAGAGATGCACCTGGAAGTAAGGTTGCGGGGTCTGCATTTCCCTTGGCCTACAGGGATAGCCCCACCCAGCTTTCTTGGGCCTTCCTGATCATGACACTCACCACCATGGACCAAGCGTGCATCACGAAGGAGGTGGGTCCCTGGTGCTGAGCACTATACTTTCGCAAGTTCCATCCCACATGGCTTGTGACAAAGAGTGTTTTCTTGATGACACTGGTGTTCAGAGAGGTTAAATGACTTACCCAGGATCACACACTAGTAAGTGACAGTGAAGACTGGCATTCTGATCTACCTAGCTACAAAGTGACATCACTCTGGTGATAGCACTTTTTTTAACGACTACCCATTCCAGGCATCTCAATAACTCCAGGCCACTCCAGAGACTACTATCCTTATTCTACTTTGTTGCAGGGTCTCTTCCTCCCCCTCTCCCTCAGGGAGCTTGGAGGCCAATCTCAGCCTCCCAGCTGCCTCAGCACAAAGCATGTACCCACCTCCAGGAGACCAGCCACTCCTCCTGACTTAGGAGAATCTGGGTAATACCACGGAACACAGTGCCCTGGTCCTCAGCTAAAAGAGTGAAGGATGGAGGTGGCTCAGCTCCTGGGTCCTATGCTTTTGCACTGAGCCTGGAGGCTCTGACCTCCTCACACACACACCCTTGACCACCCACCCCATCACAGGGGAGGACACCCACATGGAAAACCAAAGCCAGCCTGCATCTGGTTCCCCAAACTAGGAGTCAACTTGGTACTCAAAAGGACCCACATGTCAACTCCAATACCTAGGACCCTTTTGGTCACTTGATAGTCATCAACTCAGTAGCTAAAACAAAAAGGGAAATGTGAACCTGGTAGAACAGTGATCCAGATAGAAGATGCAATGGGTCTCAGGATGGATTGGAGCCCAGGAGGCCTGCAGGGAACAGGAGAGCATACTATCTTTCGATACCTGACTCATCCAACAGACACCTCAGTTCACACACGTTTGTCTGCCAATTATTCTCAAAAGTCCCTAGTGGTCTTGGACACCCTTTTCCACTCCAGTGTAGTAAGGGATATGGGATTATATCTTGTAACCACAGCTCCAGATGAGGCCTGGGCATGGGTCATGTCTAGAAAAGGTGAACTTGAGCTAGGAGCATCCCCAACCCACCCCAGGGTGCCTTTTATACATCCCTGGGATACTCAACTCCCAGAATGACCTTAACTCTAGTGTCAACCAAGTCAGTATAGGAAAAACCTGTTCCCAGTACAGTCTGACAATTAGCCACTCCCTACTGTGAAGAGTGATACCCAAGTACCACAGTCATGGACTTCTGAGTCAGCTTTTTCACAACTGTGACCAAAAGAACTGACAAGAAAAATTAGAAGAGGAAATTTTTATTTTGAGGCTCAGTTTCAGAGGACTCAGTCCATAGAGAGCCAACTGCATTCCTCAGCGCCTGATGAGGCAGAACTTCATGGTGGAAGTGTGTGGTGGAGGAGAGCAGCTCAGAACATAATGATCACAGAGAGCTCTGGCCAACAAGGACAAGCTATAAACCCCAAAAGCATGTCCCCAGGCACCCACCTCGTCCAACCATACCCTACCAGCCTATAGTCACCAGTTAATCCTTATCCGGGGATTAACACACGGATTAGGTTATGGCTCTCATAAGCCAATCATTTCACATTGTTCTAAGCCCCCAGCCATCTCAGACTCAGCCCCAGTACAACCTCACCACCTCACCCTCCTCTGCCTCCTCACCACACATGGAGATCCCATGATATCTGCCAAGAGTGGAAGGCACATGGGGTTGGGGCCAGCAAGGTGTGATATGAGTTCCAGGGAGAGGCAATGGCATGTGCAGAGACACTGAGAGCCAGACAGGCAAGGGTATGGCATTGGAGGTATTTAGGACAAGTTTTTTTGTTTTTTTTTTTTCCCTTCCTGTCCTGACCCTGTTCCTCCTTTTGGGGTGGGTTTCTCCCTTGAGAGAATTAATAGGCAGCAGTCACCTGCCTCCAATTCCAGAAAGCAAAAAGATTCAGGATCCAGGTGGAAACCACACCAGTAATCAGAACAGGGAAAATGTAATGTGCATTATTACCCGGTTAATAAGAGAAAATTCACAAGAAATAAAAGAGCAGCAAACAGCACCGTTCCCTCTCCCCCTCTCCCCTTCTTTTTCTTCTGCTTTTCTGGCACAGAAAAGACCCTCTGTTCTCTGCTTCTGTACTCAGGGGAGGCATAGAAAACCAGACTGACAGAAAGATCCACACACCCAGGGAGTTAACTTGGCCAACATGAAAGCAGAGGCAGCAATGCCCAGGCCAGGCCCTGCCACAGCAGTGGGAAGAAAAAAAAAACAAAAGAAATCCAACTCTTTTACTCAAAAAAACAAAACAATAACAAAAAACCAACAATGCTGTGCTCACTCTAGTCTCCAGCCTCTGGTCTGTCCCATGAGGGACAAACAGCATCTTTTTTCATCCTTCCAGGGTAGTCCTTTCCTGCTCAAGTTAAGACAGTGACGTCTTCTGTTGCTTCTCATCCTGATTCAGGAGGGGAAGCAGACAGGGTCGGCTGAGCCTGTGCACCAGGCAGAGTTCAAGGCTTTCTATTCCAGGAGCAAGGGGGATGGGAGGTAGCCATCTCTCACACTGGGGACTGGGATCTTGTAGTAAGAATGTTACAATATTCCAAGCCAGAAATACTGAAAATGAGAGTTGGCCCAGGGCAACTGCTCTGAAACTACAGAAGGAAGGAGGGAAAGAGCTGGGGAAGGGGGTGGAGAACAGGCAGGAATGGGCTGGGTGGGGAATGCTGAGAGACTTGGGCACTAGCTCCTTCAACAGATGCTTATTAGGTACCTATCGCAGGCACTGGTCTAGGTGCTGGGTATCCATGGAACTTCTAAACTGGGTTGGTGGCAGAAGGGCCAGCAAAAAACAAAACAAAAACCCCCTCAAGCAAATTAAATTGTGTGTCAGGTATGAGGGTAACCAGGCCAGGTGGGGGAGCAGTAGATGCTGGGGTTTGAAGGATGCCATCACATGGAGCAGGGTGTTGCAACCCCTGCACTATTAACATTGTGGGCTGGATAATTCTTCCTTTTGGGAGCTGTCCTGGCATTGTGAGATAGTTAGCAGCTCTGGTCTCTAACCACAAGAAGCCAGAAATAACCACTCCCCCACCATCAAGACAAAATGAATGTCTTCAGACATTGCCACATGTCCCCTGGTGCTGAGACTACTACAATAGACCATTTGAGGGGTTTCTTTCTTTTTTCCCTCCTTTTTAGCCCAACACATATCTACTTTGGCTAAAGTTCCATGTATTTGAAAAAAAAATATTTATCCTGCAATTTTAAGGTATTTTGAATTTACTAAAGAGGAAACTCAGTAATATCCAGGTATGGTTCATTGTATAAGATAACTGGTCTCTTGAAGAAAATGAAAAGAACAAGCTCTTTAAAAACAACAAAAAGTCAATGCCATGAAAACAAGCAAGCAAAAAACAAATTAGAAGGGACTAGAGAGTGAAAACCAAATAAAAATGTGTAAACCTGGACTTTTAAAAATGCCGTAAGAGAATTGGGTGGTGGGGGGCGGTAACTGGGAAAACTGAAATCTAGATACTCAATTTTTTCGCTTATTTATTTTTTGCAGCACTGGGGATTAAACCCAGGGCGTCATTCACATTAGGAAAGTACTCTACCACTGAGCTACATCCCCAGCCCCTGAATTTTTTTTAGATGTGAAAATGCTACTGTGACTATGTAAAAGAATATTCTTGTTTGGAGGTAGATACTGAAATATTTAGGAACAAACTGTTAACGAAGACTAAAATTCACTTTCAAATAGTTCAGCAATAGACAGTGTGTGTGTCTGCAACACTGACAAAGCCTACTTTAATTCATTAAAATGTGTTCAAGAGCCCAATTGTGTAAGAAAAATTATTTTAAAACACGCATAGAAAAAACTTGGAGGCTGCATTCCAAGCATCTAACAATGGTTTACTTCTGAGGGCTCATTTATGAAAGACTTGCATGTTTTACAATAAAATTCAAACATTCGTGAGCATATATGTATAATTGCAAAATGTGTTTTTAAAAACACACTTATTATTTAAAAAAAAAAAAACAACACATTTATTCTAAAAGGAAAAACGGACATTTAACAAATGACTATTTAACAGAATGCCACTGTCCCACGTTCAGTAGCAGCTTCCTTTCTCTGGGGGTTCATGCCCAAGAACACAGTATAGACAAGTTAGCTAAAGAACCACACAGCAAAGCGCCCCAGAGAGGAAGCAATAAAGTCCTTCTTTTCTGAAAAGGATCTCTCATTATCTTCAGTTCCTTTACTACAGCTTCTTTTTAAGGGTTTAAGTCAACATGAGGTTGACTCTTCAGTCTTTCTTATAAGATAGTCACAGAAGAGAACTTAAAGATATGGGGTTGTTAAGCCAGAGAAAAAACACAAACTTGTTTTTATTGTTATCATAACACTACTGAATTTCAATACAATTATCTCTGCTGGCTGTGCTCAGGAAATTGGCACTTTGCAAACAAAAAAAAATTTTTTTGCTAGTTTGAATCCACAGTGACCCCCAAGGCTTGGAACCAGCCCATGGCACTACTGAGAGGTAATGTAACCTTTAATAGGTGGGAACTAATGAGAGGTCTTCTGGTCATCGGGGTGAGCCCTTGAAGGGGACAGGGGGGCCCCAGCCCTTTCCTCCTCTTTTTTGCTTCTCAACCATGAGGTGAGCATCTTTGTTCTCCCTCCATGACATGCTGCCTCACCACAAGGCCAAAAGCAATGGAGACAACTGATCATGGGCTAAGATCCCCAAAACTGTGAGCCAAAAATAACCCTTTTCTCTTCCTAAGTGCTTTATCTCAGATAAATGTAATGCAAAGCTGACTAGCACATCTTTTAACGAAGGAAGTATTAAGATGCTTCAAAAATGTCCTTTCAAAATGATTTATCTTGTCAAAGAAATTCATATACTACAAATAAAACTGGAGAAGTCTGAGTAAAATGGGTAAAGTGTATTGATGCCAATATCCTGGCTGTAATACTATGCTACGGTTTGCAAAATGTTGGGAGGAATTGGATAAAAAGTACACAGATTGCTATTATTTCTTACAACTGTTTATGAATCTGTAAGTTATCTCAAAATTTTTTTAAAGATCCACATATATACCAAACACACAAGCACAAAAGTAGGAAGCAAAAATCTTTATTTTTTAAAAAAATTCATTTATTAAAAACAGCAATTTCTAGCCAAATAATATAAAGCATTTTAAATTAATTATTTGAAAGTATGTACACTCTTTGTATAAGTAAACACTTGAAACTGTACAGATTTAAACAAATATTCATTTAGCAAACAAGTTGGATCACTATCACCTACTTAGCACTTTGTAAGGTGTTTGAGTGTTTCAGAAACAAAAGATCAGAACACAAGAAAAAGTGCCATTAAATATTTTTATCCCAAAGAACAAATCTGCTCTGTACATCAAACTACATCAGTCACAGTACTGTACAATAATCATGCCCTCATTTCTTTGGAAAGGCTATTTAAAAACCAAATGTACATATAATACACTAGCTGGATATTTTACAGTTTCATTAAACATGTATTTAAAAGAGTAAGTGGAAGTAAATGCAATCTTCCTAATTCATTCATTTCACGGCAAAGAAAGAATATGGACCCTTTTTCCTTCTACCTTCCCAAAACATAAGAGTGGTAAGTTCTATCAAGCAATTTCTACCTCTGACAGGGTTGAAAACAGATGAGCTGTTACAAACGACAGTTTAGGCAGACCACCTGCACACTGTGCAAGAGCCTGCCTTAAGCGCACAAGGAGCACTGCTACAGCCGCACCACCTGCACCACAAGGCCTTTGGCCCCATTCCAGAATCCTCGGCAGTGTCCCACCTCCAGAGTTTAAATGACTCAGAATTCTTTTTGAACCCCACAACAGGTTACATTTACTATAACAGCAGAGAGAAAACCAATCCAACTCCAAATTCAAAAAGGAATTTGTAGAAACATTTATAGATGTGCACAATTTGTGATCCCTGATATGGTATGGTGGTGCTGAAGTGTGGGCAGTGTTTGTATCCTTGTGTGTGTTGATAACATGTCCCGCTGCAGCAGGGCTAGAGATCCTCAAGGCTGGTGCACAGCATAGCACAGGTAGCTGAAAACACACAAGTGTTCACATTTCAAAGAATGGCTGGAATCAAAGGTGGTGTGCAGAAGGCTGTAAGCCTAAGCTTCACTTCTAAGACAGGGTACTCATCCTATGCACCAGTTTCCCTTCTCATTTTTATGTGCCAGATTTAAGACACCTCACTGGTAATTCCTGCTCCCTCATACTCACTGAGGCTCTGGGAAGACCCATATTAAAGATCCCAAACCTATCTACGCCAGGAGGTTGCAGCTACCTGCTTTTGAACACTCTGTACCTAAGCAATTCAAGGAGTAGAGATGGCAGGCCTTACCCGAGATCCTTGATCTTTAACCACCTTACATCAAAAGAAGAATGATAACACCCTGAATTCCCAGGAAAGCAAGATGCGTTCTCAGAAGCAACCAATATACTCCCAACTAAACTTCAAAATGACAGGAGAAATATTACATTAAATAGAGTATAGAAATAAGATTTCTGGAAGTAAAAAAATAGTCACTGTGGAATGCTGGGCGGTTAAAAGTGTTGCAGTGTTTCACGTATTAGCAAACCTTACCCTTAGCAGCTTTCTGGATAGCTGGATATCTGTAAAGTTCTTTGCACTACTTATTGTAACCTATTTTTATTGCACAACTTTTGTGAAGAAACATTTCACTGTGAGCCCTCCATGGCTACATCTTAAAAACTTACATTTCTTGTTACCATAAATAAGGCAGCTATCACTGCTCACCAATTAATCTTTGGCATTTTGATGTTTTTAAAAGGGAAACACCAAACTCTAAACACTTTATGTTTCCTTCTGTAGTCAGCACTGAGCAGCACGTATTGAGGTTCTTGGGGACATTTCATGTAGGATCCTCAGTGTCCTGGCAGGCTGCAAGACTTCTCATCCCGTTCCCACCAGACAGACCGCTGACATGCACAGCCCAACCAGCCTGCTATTTAGAAACCGAAAGCAGGAGGTTCAGCTGAAAAGCAAGGTGAAGGGCTGTTAGTTCTGCTGTGGAACCACCCTTGAGAGAAGTCCTCTAGAGCCTCAAAAACAAAATGAGGAGAAAAGTCCAAGATTTTTATAGCTACTGGGCCCTGAGCTTCTGGAGGAAGTGTGGGGAGCTACCACCATCATGAAATCCAGGCCCCTGAGTCACTTAAACTCCAGGGACAATGATGGCAAAACAGAACACCAACACTAACAAATGACAGAAATGGATCTGTGTCACCAATGGCACCTTTTCCTCTTCCCTCCAGCTTTTTCCTCCTATTCAACTCCTTAAAAGTTCCCATTCTCCCCAGTCTCTACTCACTTCCACCAGCTCTCCCAGCTTTACCTCTTATTCAACATTCTCCTTCTTACTGTATACTAAATTTCAAATTACACTAAACTTAAGACCATAAATAAATATTCTCCCAAGCACTAGGCCACTCCTAATACATAACAGGTACTCGGTAAAAAAACTGCTGGCTGAATTAATAAGTGAATGATAACTAACCCAAACTGGACTCTATATTCAGTTTTTTATAAATTTGGGAAGAGAAGAAAAAACAAATACTTCAAGCACTATTCTTATCTCTCAAATAACTTTCATTTTTATCTGAAATTTTCACATTATGAATATTCTGAACAAAATGATTCAGTACATTAAATGCCAGTATTTGAGTCCTCCACAAGAAGGTCATTTGTCTTAAACAGCAATTTTCACCACTGGAAAGGACTAAAATGCAACTGAAAACTCTAAAATCATCCCCAAAAGTTAGAGTTATTCAAAGTTTGAATTCTTGTTCATGAGAATAAAACAGTGTGCAGTTTTTAAAATTAAAACTAAAAACATGTTTGCTCAAATATATTACCTACTGTAGTGAAAAAAACAAGGGGCATAAAACTACTAACGGTTTTCAGTCTGTGCTTTACCTGTTCCATGGAAGGACAAGCAATGATCTGGATGTCTTCAGGACTGAACTCTTCCTTTAACAGAGCATGAAACTTCTGGAAGACTTGCTGAATGTTATTCTTAGAAGAGGAGATTACATCAGATAAGTCAGAAAACATGCACATCTTACACATGAAGTACTATGAAAGCTAAATCATCATAATGTTTGCCAAAATGAATGGAAGAAATCTTTCATAAGATTGCCACTTAAATATTTAAGATTGCACTTAATATTTCACATGTCAGCACAACCTGATGGAAGACTTATCAGATAACATTTCCTAGAAAAACTAAACTCTAGCAAGCCCTGTCCCCCCAGAGAATAAGAGTAGTCAGCTATTTCTTACATAAAAGATAAAGTTCTAAGACAGGAATATTGCCTTCACCAGTGCTGGGCCATAAGCAAAATGTGAGGGTCTGACTTTTTTAATCTATTTAATTATACTTTCAAAATTAACATTAAAAGTCAGCCTCAGCAACTCAGCAAGACTCTGTCTCAAAATAAAAAAATAAAATGGGTTGGGGATATGGCTTAGTGGCTAAGTACCACTGGTTTCAATCCCTAATATCACAAAAAAGACAGACAAACAAAACATACAAAGTTAATATTAAAAACAGAAGACAAAGTGAAAGTTGGGGAAAAAAAGACATAATCAGAAGCTGGCTCTGAATGTCTTTCAAGAATCACAGCAATTATTAATCAACTTCACTAGAATAGTATACCAACAGTTTTAAACATCTACAGGAAAAGAAAAAGAACACTAGAAGTCTAGCCAACTTTCAGATAAATTATAGTACTACTCACCCTAACAGGTTTAAACAAGATGAACTCGGTGTCTTTATTGGACAGGTATAACGACATACTTCTCAACGTCAAAGGCAGCTTTGCTTTTATTGTCTTATAGGCAGTCACCACAAGGTCACTGACCTTTGCTGCAAAGCAATTAACCTGGTTAGGGTCACAAATTCAGAAGGGAAAAAAGAGAAAAACAGCAAAAGTCTCATTTCCCCAAAGAATGTGTCTCATTTTCCTTGTTTGTTTATCAAGTTTAACAATTAGCTCTACAAACATTAATATCTGCTATATACAAAACTCTAATCTCAACCACTAAGGCAGTAAAGAACTCTCCCAGCATGCTTTAAGACATTCGTAGGGGCTGTAATATATGCGTTTGGAATTTAGATGAGAGATAAGTGAGTTTGTTTTTTAAAGAAGTCATTCTTAAATACTTGTGAGAAACCATACTAAATGAGCTTATCTATCTACAGAACTGACTCACAGTTAGAGGTGCTGTCTAACAGTCTCACTCAGGACACTGAGAAGATATCCACACAAATCTAAGGAAAACTAAATATCCATTTGTTGTATTCTTATACCACATTATCAGAGAGAAAATAGAATTCTATAAGTTTTTAACTAAAATAACTATTTAACCTGAAAGAGATACCTGGAAAGGAAGAGTAGTCATCTGTGGGGAAACTACCTAGATAGCTACAGAGGAAAAGATGGTTCCACACATGTTCAACATCACTCAAAATTAAAGAAATGTAAATGAAAGCAGTGAGATATTTACAAATTGACAATGATGTGGGGAAAGAGATAGTTGGCCCTCCATATCTGCAAGTTCCACATTCATGGATTCAACCAACTACAGATCAAAAGTATTCAGAAAAAAAACTGCATATGTACAGATATTTTTCATTATTCCCTAAACAACATCATATAACAATGATTTATATAGCATTCATGTTGTATTAGGTACTATAAGTAATTTAGAGATGACTTAAAGTATACAGAAGGACAGTCACAGGGTTTTTGCAAATAACCCATTTTATGTGACAGACTTAAACATCTTGGATTCTGACATCTGTAGTGGGGGAGTCCTGGAACCAATCCCCAATCAATATGGAAGGACATCTGTATCTTCATCAGTTGCTGATGAGTGTCCAATCTCTCTGGAGGGACACTAGGCAATTTCTAGCAAAACTGAAAATACACATACTCTTTCACTGATTTTCACTGCTAAAAATTTATACTATTTACATACTCACAAAATAAAAAGATGTGTGTATAGGTATATTTGTCAAATAATATATAGAAAAAACTGAAAATAATTAAATATCAATTAATAAATTTCTAAAGCTATCATGCTATACTGATGTGTTCCGTGTGTCCATTAAACACAGTGGACACAGAAGGATATGCTGGTACAGGAAGGGCTATAAGACACACAGTAAGTGAAAAAGTAAGAGGTATAGTACAATCTCATTTGGGTAACATTTTCTAAGTCCATATGTGCTAGTATACACAATGTTGGGAAAGAAACTACCTTTGAGAGCAGCACTAGTATGCAAGTGGAAAAGAGAGTTATTTTTTATTTTATACACCTTGAAAATGTTTAGACCATCCGAAAACACTTTTTTAAATTGAGGAGGGTTGTGATAAGACAAGGTAAGAAAGTGCATTGGCTCTTAAGAAGAAGGAGTCCAGAATTGATTATTTTTTCATTAAACAACTGAAAGCTCTTCAAGACACTTCCTTCGTGGGTTCTGGCTCTGTGTGTTAACAAACACACTTCAGAGATCACTAAATGAGTTTTCAGAGCCCTTGATAAGCATAAAGTAGCTGTGCAGACTAGTGAATATAGTATCCTTTAATTGTCTAGAATCAATTAACAAAACAGCATTCTCTCCCATGAGTTCCTTCATTACAACTTGATCCAAGAACCTGACTGTCTACATAAACCAGTCACCCTGGGTTTCTGGGGCAGAAGAGATTGCTCCTGGACTGTTCTTGATGCTCCCACTCCAACAGGCCCATAAATCTCTTTCACACTGAAGTGTGGATGTCATGCATTACAGATCATGAAACTCCAACTCCACCCTCCACTGTGGCTAAATGGGCAGAAAATACACAAGACAAACTGAACTGTCATCTCTATATACACTAAGATCTCCTCACTAAGAAAGAAAACAAATGAGTTATGTGACAAAACAGCAAACCCATTTCAATCTGTCCTTTTTCTTTTATCGGGGAAACTGCTGCTTACTGATAATTCTAGTAATGCTTAAGGGTCCAATACATCTAACACTGAATTCTATTAGAATTCTGCTTGAGAAAATGACAACCACTATTTTGAGAGAAAGGATCTTTCCAAAAGGGAAAGAATAATATGTTAATTATACACCAAATCCCTGGGTTTAGTGTACTAAATATGTCTGTGCCTATTTGCTGTTTTTATCTATTTTAAGAAAGATTTATTACATCCAAGGTTTCATTTACATAAACACTCAAAATACAAATCAACTCCTATTTCTAAATAAGCCCTATGAGTGGCTGAAACCTTAAGCCAAAGGCTCCAATTCATCCAGAGATCATGAGAATGACTCCAAGAGTTGCCTTGAGCTGGGAACTAGGAAGTCTGCTTCCTGACTATGAGGAATAGGTGGTTGACAAAAAGGCAGCCTATGATCAGAATTCCCAATACTATTGGTTAAAAAAAAAAATCTGATTTTCTTTTGACAAAGTGTACTACTCCATCAAGTGTGCTCTGCTTTTAAAAGATGTTTAAGATTTCACTCTCATGCACAATCCAAATGTTTAAAATAATGAAGACAGAATATTCTCAGTTTCCATTAAAATATACAAAAAGGTATTTGCAATAAAACAAATTATTGCAAAACTGTATTGACATCCTCAAAGTGTACATGAGGAACATTTGAAATATAATTCTGTCATCCTTTCAAAGATAATATTTACACATCTTCATAAGAAATACATAGCTATTCTTAATTTCTTGGCCCAACTTCAGATTAACCTGAGGGGTTCATAATAACTGAAAAATCTGTAGGCTTACAAGAGTTTCAATCCTTTTTCTCAAAGGAAATGAATACCTGTCAACACAACATCCTTTCAATAGGAAAAGCAATCATATTAAAAAGTTGATTCCAGATTAGGTACCTGCAGATAGCTAATTTTTATGGGTGCAAAGCCTACTCTTTGGAACTACTTTTTGGAACTTTCACTACAAGCAAAGAGCTACTTTCCAACTTGGGCACTGCTTACACATAATTAAAACTGTTTCTTCACCATTTTGTTCTTTTCATTTTCAAAATATGGGTCAGGGGAGCCAGAAATATGCTTAACAAAATTATTTATTCTGGTTTAATAGCAACTTAAAATGTCACAAAATGTACCAGAACAATCCACAAATTTAGGTTGAGTTTTAAATGTCTAACATTTAAAAGTAAAGAACCCTCTCATTAGACTGCGGGTATAGCTTAATGGTACACTGCATGTGCAGTGTGCACAAGGCCCTGGGTTCAAACCACAAAAAACAAAAATAAAGGGAAGCCGGGCACAGTGGTGCACACCTGTAACCCCAGCAGCTTGGAGGGCTGAGACAGAAGGACTGAGAGTTCAAAGCCAACCTAAGCAATGGCGAGGTGCTTAGCAATTCAGTGAGACTCTGTCTCTATAAAATACAAAATAGGGCTGGGGATGTGGCCTGGTAGTTGAGTACCCCTGAGTTCAATCCCTGGTACCAAAGGGGGAAAAAAAAAAAAAAAAAAAAAAAGCAAAGGGAAGGGGACAGCGCAAGTAGAAAGGAGAGGGGAGAGAGGAGCGGGGAGGATAGATATAATCAAAGCATGATATATGCATGTATGGAAATGTCACAGTGAAACTTATTGATATGTACAATTAATAAAAGTTAATCATAATGAACAAAAAAAGTCTCTCCCAAAACAAAACCTCTAGCACACACATACACACAAAAATTTACATTAGGGAAAGTGTAAAATTGGAAACATCTCAAATATATCTATGAATCAGGCAATGATATTGCCTGCCAACTCCCACTGATACCTCAATTTTTATGATTCTTTTTACAAACACTCCAAAATATCAACAAAGAATAGAATTTAGAGAAAATGTGTAACAAAATAGTGGCCCAATATTTCTTCATATACTTGAAAACGGGTGTTTTCCTCTCCACAATTTCACTGTGTCAAATATAGTATTTTCAGAAAGCTATAAACAAATGAATGGCAAGAGTACAGAAATCAGCAGACTCAAAATGTTTCCATCCATACCAGATTTTACTTTTAACTAGGTAAATTTATTTTTAATTCTTCCTTCCTTGGAATGCTTATTGAAATACCAACAGTGCTGGCCAATTAACATCTGTTAGCTCCAAACTGAATCTAGATTAACTCAGATGTAGAACCCCAAAGTGAATAAGAAATAAATCCAAGCTGTCCCTGCAAGGACTATATAAATGTAAATTAATAATATATTTAAAAAGAAATCCAAAATCGTAAAATCTGATTACCTGGTTGTGCCCAAGGCTGCTGTGAGAGGGTATACTTGGGACCTCCCTGACTGGCCATTGTTTTTAATGCTGAAACCTAGTAGAGGAGATAAGAAGAAAAGCTTCATTTCACAGGTGACAAATTAAACCCTTGCCACTCTCAAAGGATACAAAACACCATTTAAACCTACTAAAGCATACTGATAATCAAATGTGCAACTGCAACAAAATTGCACCACATCTCATATTCCTTTAGAGCTTATACAATTTTTCAGCAAAACTTTTTGTTATTTCAAGGCATATGTTACCTTGCAAAAAAAAAAAAAAAAAACCAAAATCATATATGGCATTCTGCCTAAGACATTTCAGGATAGGAAGATAAAATTGAAACCCTAGAGAAATGTAAATAGAAAACAGATCTCTCTAAAATGGACTGTTAATATTAAATTATTATTGTATTTTATTAGAAATGTCATCCCAGCTGGACAAAAATCTCCTCTATATACCAAGAAGATCTATTTCTTACTATATCATAGGCAGAGAGAATGTCATTAAAAAAAAAAAATAGGATTTTTCAATACCATCAAAAGGCACACTTGACTATAAAAGCTAAAATTACAGACTTGGGAGCCCATCTTCTAGTCATCTCTTTCCATTTTGTAGCAACAATATAGAAAAGTGAATGTAAAAAAGTGTATTTAGCTGCTTGGACAAGACTGTTGTGTCAAGAGTCATCACACACTGTGATGGGAAAATGGGTGGCTACACAGGGTGAGAGACAGAAACTGCATAAAACATTTTTTGTTTGTTTGTTTGTTTTAATGGACAGTCATGTACTGCCAAAGCCTTGGCCCCACTGGAAAGTCTCATTAGAAAAAAACCTTAGCACAGACTCTAGCTTCTCTTGAAAAGGGGCAAACAAATAAGAGGGAAGAGACAGGCATAAGGTTAAAGCTGATCTCTCCAGCCTTCTTCACTGCTGGTTTCTGTGCTGCCCATGTGCGTAAACTTGCCCTTTCCTCCTCTCAATTCTTCTCCATGTCTTTATTTTTTCATTATGTGATTTGTTTTTAAAAGACACATTTCACAGAAGATTACAGTTTACTTAGACAATGATAAAAGAAAAAAAATCTACACTTCAGTGTACATTATTTTGGGAATACATTCCAATTTAAAAGTATATATTCATGTTTATACATTTATAAAAATGAGAATGTATTTTTTCCCACTTAAATCTATATTCTGGACATTTTTCTGGGTCTGACAGTTTTAATTGTAATGGCTGCCTACTATTCCACTGATTGTCCCAAAATTTAACCAATTTCAAGATGATATATATATATATTTTTTTAAATAAACAGATTTTCTTTTTTTTTTTTTTGAGAAAGAGACAATTTTTTTTAATATTTATTTATTTTTTAGTTTTCAGCGGACACAGCATCTTTGTTTATATGTGGTGCTGCGGATCGAACCCAGGCTGCACACATGCCAGGCGAGCACGCCACCACTTGAGCCACATCCCCAGCCCCAAGATGATCTATATTTAGGAAGTTTGTTTTAAAAACAAATACAGATTTGTACATTCATTTTGTGTTTACTATCCAGATAATTTACTTATCTTTAAATCACACCTCAAGGAGTATTCCCTTCAAAAGTTTTCCTGGGTATGTAGAGTTCATATTTCCTGAGAAAGAAACCCAGAGAAGGAACAGGAAAAGGAAAAAAATGTCTGGTACTCAGGGGAATAAAAAATGTTCTCCCCAATAATTCTCATCTTTTTTAAAACCTCAGAGATGAACAAAGACTCACTGTCTCATGCTGACATTGCCATATACATTTTAATGTTCAGTTATCTTCCTATCTTGATTTCCCACTAGGTTATAACTCCTTGAGAGCAGGAATTAAATTTATAGATCAAATTCTATTATATGCACTACATCAAGAAAAATTTATAGGGTTACAGAGGAAATTAATAACACTTCAAAAGGAATATTAAGAATAAACTTGCTTATTAAACTGCTTGGGAAAAAGTGGTATTTTTTATATACAAGCCTGGGTTTTTAGCATAAACTGGTCCCACCAGAAATACTTATAGCTCAGCTATAAACCTAAAATTATACTTCCTTTAAAATGCCTTAATTTAGACTTTTGGCTAATGTAAAATCTTTATCTCAACTTTGTCTACTTTACTTTAAAATAACATTTCCACAGCACTTTACTAAAAATTACAAAGTGCCTTTACACATGATATTATTTGGTCCTTGCAGTAATCGTAAGAAAATAGGATAGATTCTACAGCCATCCTGATAGAGTTTAGAAAACTGAGTCTCAGAGGAACAAACCTACTAACAGTTTCATTCAGCAAGTAGAGAAGAGGGCCTGGGACCCCACCTTCCCAACTCCAAGTTTTTTGCTACACCTACCACCATCCCAAGTCCCATTTAAGAGTTTCAAGTAATATCCAGTATCCAGTACCATAGAATTCTAAATAGTAAAAATGCATCAACAGTTTTTAAAATTTGAAAAAAATAATAATCTGACTTAAATGTTTTCACATGTACCTCTACCCCAACACTCAGAATAATTTTTTTTTTTTTAGGCCATTCAAATACTTAGAGAAAAGACTATTTTTCCAAGGACAGGAAATAAGAAATGAGCATGTGTATATTCTTCTTGTACTCATTTTATTTTTCTCAAGAAAAACAATAATTACACCAAAAATCAGGAAAGCAGCAGATGAAAAAGACATAGAAAAGTTATCTCATGAACACTCAGCCACTCTGTGAGACGTCAGTTTCTTAGTCTATGAAATGAAGATGTCTTCCCTTGGGAAGCCAGGGTTTGTGGGTAGAACTAAGGAAAATGAAGCATCTCAACAGGAGAGCCTAGAGAGAGCCATATAAAAACAAAAAGGCCAATCTACAGCAGATAAAAGGGCATCAGAATCATACATTGAGTTTTTAGGTTAAAAAGTCTTGTGAGAATATTCTCTACATACAAACAGTTTGTTTCATTGTGCCAACCCATATATATAAACAAGCTGAGGACCTTTATTGATAAGGCTTACATCTAAAATGGTAAGTACTGAGACCTACAAATTTACATTTAAATGAAAAATGAAGTTCTGTCTCCTTTCTATACCTGTGGATATTATAATCATTTATGAAGCACGGTTGCCTTATAAAATACTAACTAAATAAAAAAGCCTGAGGTTCTGAACCTGCAGGTGATAATGCTGAGGCATACCTTTAGAGAAAAGCATTTTGAAGTTCTAAAATCTTTTTTCTCCTCTACTACTCAGAATGCTAGAAACAGTCACCAGATAAAAAAATAAAAATGCTGGGTCAACAAATTCTAAAACATAATGTCTTAAATGATCACTTATGTCAGTGTGAACTCCAGTGTTTGTGTCTGCCTGCCTGCCTGCCTATTTCTCTGTCTCTGACTGACTCTATGCCAGCAGGACTGGAAGGAACCTGAATTTGGAATAAGACAATACAAAAAGGATGCTCAGTCCTCTACCAGGCTGTGGTGTCTACTAAATACTAGGTCTAGAAACTCAACAAGCAGCAACAAGGGACAGAGGCAACTGTGTCTGATCTGAGCAATGGCACAGTCAACTGTCACGTGATGTGACATTGGGCTCTCCATGATGATAAGACACAAGCCTTTCCCTTCTTTCCCCATAGCGAAGGGGATATAAAAAGAGGTCCATAAGCCAGAGGCTGAGGCAGAAAGATAGCAAGTTCGAAGCCAGGAAACATGGTGAGACCCTGTTTCAAAATAAAAAATAAAAAGGACTCAGGGTGTAATTTAGTGGTAGAGCATCCCAACACTAGAGAAAGAAAGAGAGTTGGGGAAGAGGTGTATGAACAGCTAGCTGTCCAGGGAAATGCCTTTATGTATATACAACATGTCCATGGTAAACTATTACATAATTCAGACTTGGAAGATTTTTTTTCTATAAAGACATCCATTTCAGGGCCAGGGCTGTGGCTCAGTAGTAGAGCACTTGCCTAGCATGAATGAGGCACTGGGTTCGATCCCCTGCACCACATAAAAATAAACAAATAAAGGTATTGTGTCCGTCTACAACTAAAAAAATTTAAAAAAAAAAACAAAACTCTCCATTTCCTTTTTAAATGCTCTTAGTCCAGAGTCTTCCAAAATATACAACTGTCCTGTTAGACCAGATTTATCAAGCTTGTACTAAAGCCAACTTGGACAACTTTATTAATAAATTTTGACTCTCTTGATTTCTAGAAAAACTAATCTAGAACAAGCATTTAATCCTAGATTATAATAATCAACTCACAGATTATAATCAACTCACAGATTTCAGAAGATTCATTTGACTGCTTTTATTGTATGTTTGTCTATAATATCTCCTATCAGTACTAATGTGAATGTACTCTCAGAAATACACATTACAGTTTATAAGCCAATTTTCCTTGAGAATAATTTCAGTAAAAATGATAATTTTTCTGTAAACTATAAACTGTCAACTCTGTACACTCTCCCTTTTTTAAAATCAAAATTTGCTACAGAATATTTCTATCACCCTTCTTTGCTTTGTGGTAGGAAAAAAATACACAAATATTCTAAATACTTCATATTAATGACTAAAATCCAATAATACAATAAGTAAAAAGTGATTTTTTCATCATTTCTGCATTTGCTTTTTGTTCTTTTTATTATTTTTAACTTAAATCTTCTTCTTTTTTTTTTTTTTTTGGTACTAGGGATTGAAGCCAGAGTTGCTTAACCACTGAGCCATTCCCTCAGCCCTTTTTTGAAACAGGGTCTCAATAAATTACTGTAGGGCAGGCCCAAAATGGTTGTAGTTAGGCTCTCTTGCTGAGGCTTGGGGATGGGACTGGGGCTATGATTTTAGTATGAAGCCAAGGTCAGAAACACCCAGATTCAGCACACTTACTCAAGGTCAGAAGCATTTGCTTGTGAGCATGCGCCCACTTATGTAACCTGTTAGTAATGTGACTTCTTTGGCCTGCATATTAAAAAAAAAAAAAAAAAAAGGCTTATAGAAGTGGCTGGGGGCTAAATGAACTGGCTGAGGGTTAAATGGGACTGGTTGGGGTCTGTTGCTGTCTCTAAATAAAGAAAGTCAACCATCCCAATCATCCCAATAGTGCCTTCTCATCTTTTCTCAACTGCAGGAGCCCCCTAACCTTACATCCTGAGCCTGAGCCACAGTAGTGGCAGGTCAGTTGCTTAGTGCCTCACTAAGATGCTGAGGCTGGCTTTAAACCTAAAATCCTCCTGCCTTAGCCTCCCAAGTCGTTGGGATTACAAACATGCACCACCATGCCAGGCTTAATTTATATCTTCTGTCTATCTAGGCCTCAGGCATATTAGAGTTGATAACCCACCAACAAGTTACTAAACAACAATATGCATAGCTATTTATTATTTTATAGATACATCTTGCCTAACCAGTTAAGACTACCTCAACTTGAAGAAAATGCCACCATGTTTTTATTCTTTTTATGAAGTCCTTTAATACAAGTCTGGGGTAGACACTAGAGATTTAATAAACAAAGGTTAATTTTAAGACTTTTTTAACATCTTTAAGACCTCAGTGATGACACTTTTTAAAAAATAATTAGGTTGAACAAAAATGTTAGAATGACCATGATCTGCTCTGCTCTTTGTCAATCGACAGATTTTCGCTTAGGAGACAGAGAAAGAGTCAGCCTGTCATATATATGTATATTAAATCCACTTATATGACAGTTTACAATGTAGTGATAGAAAATCTTCAATTCTCAATTATGCATGCAAAAATGAAAGGGGCAAATAACAAGGCAAAGCAAGAAGAAAAATAAACCCTCCATTTTAAGTAATAGAAAATCTGCAGTTGTTGCCATGCAGGTGTAGGAGGAAGTGAGCATCCAGGAGACTGCGAGCGGTGGCCCACATGCAGATCACTCAATGCAACAACAGTTATGCAGCATTTGCTATCTTCCTCTTCAAAACAAAAACTCTCAAGCATATCTGAAAGTCCACATAGCAAAGCTCTTGTAATAGGAAACAGAATGATTTCCTAATCACTGAGATTTGGACTACCATCTCCTTCTGCCAGAGTTTTCACAAGAGGGTAATTCAAAAGCAAAGCCAGGGAAGAATGCAAAATGACTTTACCAAGCAGGCACCCCGTCTCTACCTTTGTCATGAACTCCTCCAGCTGCTCTACAAACAGCTTGGTCTGCTGCTGAATAAACTGCTCACAGGCCGATTTCAGATGCCGGTCTACATCTTTTTTAGAGTCAAGATAATGTTCTCTTATCTCAGGAGTACCCTTAAAAAGAAGATGACAATTTCCTCCTGTTTTTATGTGCCTAGAAATTACCAGACACATAAAGAATGTCATTTATCCCACCACCAATGAAACAGACTCTTCTCACCTCCAACAAGAACTCTATCAAGGCATTGTTGCTATTCAGCCTAAAAAATCTTGGAACAGTCATAGGGTTCAGGATTTTAAATGCTGCATCTGTGAAACAAAATTTCTCATCCAGTAAACATGTCAGTTTCAACAGAGAAGCTCTGTGTAACATCAGTTCTTTACTACCATGAAGCCAGAAGGCATTCATCTTCACCAACCCACCTCCACAAATGACTAAGGGTGAGATGAATGTCAAATATGGCCACAGTACCCACACAGTTATTTTCTAGAAGTTGAATTGCAAAATGACTATTAATTTTAATTTGCCATTTACAGAAAAAAAAGAAAAATGATAAATTATATTTGATATCATAAAATTTCACTTCTTTATTTTTGGGATGTTAAATTGTTTTTTAAAAACATTCACATACTTACCCAGATTTGTTAAGATCCTGACTGGCACAGAAATTTATTCACTTGAAGAAGTATGAATAAAACAATGTGTCAGCCAGAGAGAAAACACCAAGAGGACATATTTACCCCTTAACCTCCAGACTAACTAGACTCTACACAAAGTACTGAGGTCTCATTGATGTTCAAATGCAATAAGATATAACATTAGTTGTGAGAGGTTAGAGGCTTAAAAGTGAAGATAGCAATTAAATTAAGTGACAGAAAAAAAAGGCCATTTCTTTGCTTTGCCCGACTAGAGAAAGCAAAGCATGAAATGCTTCCAACCCTGGTTTTGCAAGCACATGCCACAATAAATACTGCCTTGACCCTGGTCTTAATGAAAAAGAACCTCTCTCTATCAGATTCAGGCTTCATAGAAAAACGTGAGTGACTCTTTGTGTCTGCTTTTTGTAGGATACCTGAAAGATTCTGTTTGCAATAAATAGAATCAAATCACCATCTGGTAGGGTTACATAAGCTTCACAATACATGGGGAAAAACATTTTCTTTAAACCAAATTTTGTCAAAATCTTAGGATGTTTCATCTTCTCACACCTCAGTGAATCTAGACTATCAACAAAAACTAAAAAAATAAGAAGAAGAATTAGACAAAAATAAAAATAAAGTAAATTAACCTCTTGTCTATCTCATTACTTAAAACAGACATCAGCAGCCAGAAATTCTTCAAGACAAGAGCACCATTCCCATACCTCACACTGAAAGAAAAGAAGGAAATCACCTGGAGAATTGGGAGGTAAGAGCCTCAAAGAAAATGCCATTTGAAAATTATGCATTATGTAAAGGCAAAAGCCAGAAAATCTGGTTCCTAAAAAAAAAAAAAAAAATGATACACACAAGCTTTATAAACCAAAAAAGTATTCTCTGTGGTGGACAGGTGAGAAATTAGGGGAAAAGAAGCAAATGTTTTAATATGACTCTGCAGGAGCCACAGTGGATCTCAGCTGAGTTAAACCAGACAAGCACAGTAATTAAGGAACTAAAATCCTGCTATATTTGGAATTTCTGTATTTGGGGTTGCTCTGAATCACAGAACACAGAAAATAACTTCAGTGACTACTTTCTCAATTGCCCCCATACATTAGAGAGAAAGTTAATTCATTATATAAGCAGACAGCTTAAGGCATAAAAGCATAAACCTTTTAGAAAAGATTAAGAAAAGATAAAGTTTACAAAAAATTTGTAAGTAATTAAGAGAAATGAGTGATGTTTATGGTATATCCTTAATTGCTGAAGACCAACAGCTTGGAAAGTAGCTAATCTTTTAAAAGTCATCTCTCATTAATTCATAGACAAATCATCAGGATGGATGAATCATCTTTCCCACGATGAGTCAATATTTTTTACCAATTCCAAGACCTCATATCTACATGATTACTTATCAACCAGCAGATTTAAAAATACTGCATAAGCTCACTTTAGTACCCAAAACATAGAAAACACCTTAACATATTTTCATTCTTAATGATCTTGACAACCCAGTTAGAGAATCATAACGAGTTCATTATGCTCGTTTTACCTAAGAGGAAGGTCGGGCAGGGAAGACAAAACACCCATCCAAGATCACACAAGAGCTAGGAAATGATGAACAGGAAAAAAAGAAAATCAACTCTCAGACTCTTAAACAAGTACTCCTCCCATTTTTACTCTGATTTCCTGAATTTTCACAAACTGACAAACTCAACTCCAGGTTTAAAACATACCAATTAGCTATCAGGTACTATTTACTAAGTAGCTATTATACTGATTTTTCATTTTGTAACTGGTTGTAAGTAATATGTGGCAGAGTCTAAGACGGTAATAGTACATTACAAATTGAAATGCTCATATAAAACTCTCTTAAAGAAAATACAGCAAGTTAGAGTAATTAGGATATTGATAGCTCAGCTTAGTGAGAACAAGATACACACTTAGCAAGCAAAGCATGCAAAAACATTGCAGATGAACATAAAATAAACCTATAACCTGTGCTGACACATCTGGACAGGTTCAAACATACCCAGGTGTGCCAGCCAGGACAACAAAGTACCTCTAGTTTTCTTGAGGTCCAGGGAAATTTCCTTAATGGTGAATTCAGTGTGAAATGGAGCAATTTGTTCTCGAAGAATCAAAAGGTGCTTAATTAAGAAAAGCTGTCCATCAATCTGAGTCTATATTGTAAAACAGAAAAATTAATATTATCACAGATTAAATCAAAATAGGAGCATATAAGACACATGTTATTAATCAATACTAATCTATCTAATTTTATAGCCTTATCACACTAATATGCCTCTAGTGAGCAATGAGCTCTTCCCATATTACCCATGTTAAAATTACATAGAAAAATCTTGCTTCAAACTCTTTTTTTAAAAAAAAATATTGTTCAGTTGTCAATGGATCTTTATTTTACTTATTTATATGTGGTGCTGAGAATTGAACCCAGTGTCTCATACATGCTAGGCAAGCACTCTACCACGGAGCTACAACCCCAGCCCTTGCTTCAAACTCTTAATACCACTTGCTCTACTTAGGAAATCCAAGAAAGTAAATTAGACAAAAGACAATAAACACCAAATGTAGAAAGAGAAGTCAAATCTATTTTCATATGGTGCAGAGGTAGAAAAAATGATGTTATCCAACACTAGCACAGAGCAGGATGTACATAGGAATTCTAAGTATGAGCATGATTCTGCCCTCTCTTGGTCTTCTAGTTCTTTCTCTTCAGGAAGATAGCTTTCATTGTTTGATCAAAGCAATTTCAATAAGGAGAACATCAGACATACTCAATACTTTCTTATAAAAGTACAAAAGGAATCTCTAAATGTAAGATGGCTTGGGGGTCACCATTTTGGATTATCCCGCCACCAAGAGAGTACTAATTACCTACACCCTTGAGAGTTCCATATGCCCTTTCACCCTGTCAGAACCAATCTATAAGAACCCTGTGTTGCAACTGAGTTCTCAAAGTTCACCCAATTCTAAAAAATAAATAACCACAGCTCTTATTTTCAAGAGTCTGTATCTTAGTAAAAGCAAGACTAAATGTGCACTTTCTTGCTGCCTTTCAAGGCAAAATCTTATCTCAAAATCTTATCTCAAAAATACTTCAAATGAAATATTTTACATTAGAAAAAGTTATCCTTCAGTAAAGCATTATAAATTCAAAGGGATTATTAAATAAAGTGACACCCTATTAATATCTCCCTCCCTACTTCTAATAAGCTTCTAAGTTTGACTTATGCAATGAAAACTCACTTTGCATTCTGAACACAGGGCATCAAATAAGTATAAATGTTACACTTTAAGATACTTTTAAAAGAACTAAGACTTGAGAGCAAAAATAGTATCAAATAAATCTCCTCTGTTTTACTAAAGTTATTGTAACCCAATAAATAGTATCATGTGAATTTACTAACAGACTAGGAGATCACTTAAGAATGTAATAATTATTTCCTGCCTTAAAAACTAGAAAATCTAAGACCCTTGTTGTTATACAAAATTACATATAAGATGGTGTAAGGGGGAAGGAAAAAAAAAGAGAAATGTGTTACAGTAGATGCGGTAGAGAGAGGTGATGGGAGGGGAAGGGAGGGGAAGGGAGGGGGGCATACGAAGGGAACAGGAAGGGCAGCAGAATACAACAGACACTAGTATGGCAGTATAAATAAACGTGGCTGTATAACCAATGTGATCCTGCAATCTGTACATGTGAGAAAAATAAGAATTCATACCCCATTTGAATCAAATGTATGATATATGATATGTCAAGATCATTGTAATGTTTTGAGCAACTAATGAAAAGAAAAAAAAAAAAAACTAGAAAATCTTTCTAGGGGGCTCCAGATGTGGCTCAAGTGGTAGCAACGCTCACCTGGCATGCGTGAGGCACTGGGTTTGATCCTCAGCACCACATAAAAATAAAATAAAGATATTATGTCCACCTAAAACTAAAAAATAAACATTTAAAAAAAAAAGAAAATCTTTCTAGCACATCAAGCCATTTCATTGTTTTTTTTTTTAACCAAAAACTAAAAGGCAATAGTACACAAACTCAGCAATGAAAATAAGTAAGCTAATGCTTACCAAACTTAGGGCTTCCTCACACATACCTAAACCTCTTATAATATGTAGGAAACAGAATTAAATAAAGAGCATGGCCTATAGATAATGAAGACAGAAGGATGAATGATCAAAAGCTTAAAAGAGAAGACAATGATACAAGAGGCATCAGCACATACACTTTTTCTTAATTAGACCATTCTTTTCCTTCTGGTGATCTAAGACACATATGCTCCTAAAGAAATGTGTAGGAAATAGGGGCAAAAAGCACCCATAGTCACACAAATGTTTTTACTATCACATATTTATTTTTAATACATTTTTCATTACCTAATTAGACTATATATCTAATTTGTATCCTTTCTTTTTGCCTGAACATACTTAAATCTTGTCTCATTTTTAAAAAATTTAATGGCTGTATAAATTTCCACCATATAGAATATGCCCCAATTTACTTTACCATTTCCCTAATATTAGATACATTCCCTAATTTCATCAACAAAAAATGTGAGAAGTCAGACTTGCAAGTGCTATTTAAAACTTAAATCTTCCTATCTACATTCTTATTCTCCATCCTCTTCTAGCCCCTTTGTCAAAATTTAATTTCAACTCTCCATTTCTGACTAGAATATAATGGTTACAAACAAAGGTAGAATCTGGAAGTTAGAGAGTTCAAACCCTCCAAGCAGTAATGAAATTCTGGGTAGAAACAGTCCCCACAGCTCCCTCCCTGAAGGTGACAGGTATTTTAAGTGAAGAGTTAAGCTGAGCAGTACTATTGAACATGCTCTACTTCTTGGGGGAAAAAAAAAAAAATCTCAGTGCCATGGAAGAAGCACAGCCAGCAGTTTTCAACATCAGATCCCATCCTGATTGAAAATCTTAAGCCACATAGTCATGGCAACTCCTTCTATTCATACAACCCAAGGTTGACAATTGCCTTTCCTCAAAATTGACAGGCTAATTTCCTCCTGGTAAGACTATTCAACTATTTAAATCACCATTGGAGAGATAGTTAAATTGCTAATATCCTTAAAAACAGTTTCTTGGTATTTCAGGGAATCAGCAAGAAACCTTTATCCTATAGAACTGATAAACTAAGTACCAATTTTGGTTTAGCAAAGCTAGACTCTCTTAGGGCAGTCTTTACTGAGCACTATAATGAAATACTAGCTTCTCTCAAAGGGCCTCAAAATTCAATCATATTAAACAAATCTTATTGTCAAAACAGCTTTAAATTTCTGTGCCTATAAATAAATGCTATGTTGCAAAATATTATAGGTAATATAATTTCACCTAACACTTCGTCAAACCTTGTTTTTGCTGATAGACTCTGATGCTCCCAGTAAGGACTGAATGCAGGCAGACAATGCTTCCTGTGATAATCCCTGGAACACCGCCCTCTGGTGGAATAAAAGAGAACATCAAAACAGATATAAAAGGAAAATCCTAGGTCCTGAGTGCAGCAAACCAAATGCATGCTTGCCTTCACTACTGTTTATTACTGATACCATTCCTCTTGGAGCTTTCTATTCCCATGCAACCTTTCTAGACCAACATATAGTTTTGAAATGTGCACTCACATCTGGAAGCACTCATGTGATCTTTAATAAAAATGTTCTACCACTTCTTGAATGCCATGCTAGATGCTAGGAAGTCATGGATCAAGAGGCAGGCAGGGTACTGACCTCATTCCAACATGATCTCATGTTGTAAAGTGTTTTATTATTATTATTATTAATTTTTTGATTTGGGGTGGTTTTGTTTGTTTCTTTTGTCTGTACTGGAGATGGAAATCAGGGGCACTCTACTACTGAGCTACATCCCCAGTCCTTTTTGAAACAGGATCCCGCTAAATTGCCAAGGGGAATCCTCCTGCCTCAGCCTCCAGAGTGGCTGAGATTAAAGGTTGTGTATCACCATGGCTACCAGTGGTCTCTTTTTAAAAGCTCAGAAACTAACTGTAAAACAAACCTTCAGTGCATCTACTTCTAAAAACAAATCCCAGGCAATTAGTCAGCTCTGCATTTTAAGATTCATACGCATTCATTCATTATATGGTATTATTTAAAACAGCAAATAAATAAACATAATGGAAATGTTCAATGATCAATGATGGGAGATTGACAAATAAAATACCAGTAAATTAAGTTACAAACTACTGTGCATAAATAAAAAGAATGCTGAAGTGGTAAAATTCTTATAATTAAGTGGGGGGAAAACAGGTTACATATAATTAAGTGGGGGAAAATATAATTAAGTGGGGGGAAAACAGGTTACAAAATGGAATATGAAGTATGAATCCTAATTAGGATTAAATTAAATGGCAGTGGCATGTTGGTCAGACAAGGATTCCCATCAGTCCCCTTGCTGCCCTCCCTGCCTCCATTCTACCGAAGACATGACATGGTTGTGGTTGGTTATGTACAATACATTTATTATGAGCCACAGTCCTGGCCCTGGCCCCCTACTTGATGTTATTCTCTCTGTATTGCTTCAACCTGTACAGAGGCTACTATGGGAAGGAAGGATTAGAGCTATCCCCTACTGTGTCACTGACCTGCCCAGAAACCTAAAGATGGGCAGCTTAGGAAAATATCCTCTCCCTCCCCTGCTCAGTCTTAATATGGTTTGCGTTGGATATGTCTTTCTTCACTTTCAGTAAGACTGAAAGTTTAAGACTTGGATGTGAGCCAAGTGAAAAAATAAGTAGGTAAGCCTAAGGCATAAAACAAAATCAGGCAGAGTAACTTCCTTAGGCCTACTTCTTATTGGGCTACAGACCCTATTAAGCAGCTCAGAGACTTCATTCATTGGGGTCTGTGATAACAAAAGATTTGTGTGGAATAGCCTCCTGCACATTTCTCTTGGGATCTTGGCTCCAACTGTAGGAAGTTTAAAAATTCCAGCCTAATGCCATTATTCGATATACCTAATTGGAGTATGGGAAAGAAGAGATGCCAAATGTCCACAGTTCCCTCTAAAAGAGATCTATCAAACTATATAGTTTAAGTAGAGCAGTAGGATTCAAATGCCCCATGTAATATTGTACAACCTTGTCTTAGTACTTGCCCCATGTAATATTTTGCAACCTTGTCCTAGTCTTAGTACTCTGCAGTACAGAATACCTTTGGCACATGAGGGCATATGCATACTCCTTCTGAACGACATCCTAAAGAAACAGTGGTACCTGGGCAATTCACTACATGACTGTTGTATGTAGTCACTTCTCTCTTTTTATGCAGTTGGACTTACAGCAATCAAATTAAGCAATGAAAAAGTGAATTTCAAATGGTCAAATTTTATGAACTATTTTGGCTTAGAAACAAACCACTGATAGCAAATACAGACAAATCAGCTGTTACAGGGAATGACAACTGTGTATGATTAAAATAACTCTCTTCTGGGAAATCAATGCACAATCTAAACTGGTGCTTTAAAAAAAAAGTACTGCCAACTTTAGCAATAACTAAGTTTATGGCTAAAACCACATGTGATCTTAATTATTTGTTAAGAATATCAATACAAATTGAGTGCAAAACTAAATTATAGTAACTGCATTTAATACTAAATAACTACATGATATTGAATATATCACTTTCTGCACCTCTTTTTCATCATTTACAAACTAAGATGAACAAAATGAACAGTGTTTTTAAACTTACTGGTGATCTCAGACACCTTTAAGAATCAATGAAAGCTAAAGTTCTTCTACTTAAAAAGTCACAAATACATATACACAAAATTTAACCATATTTACAAGGCGTTCATAAAAGTCCTTTAGTGGATCCTAAGGGCCTACAGAATACTCAAATTAGGAATCTCTAGATTGACCTTCAAGTAATCTCCATATCTAAAAATTATAATTCTAAGAATAACAAATAAAATACATCAAGATCTTAAAACAAAAATTTTAAAATATTCTAAGTGAAAGAGTAAATAAATTCACAGTAAAGATAAAAGAATTTATACACATACATCTATGCATCTGTATAATTTGGAGAGACAGACAAGAGTTCTTCGAACTGTAGGATACCACATTCCATGAAGATCTGCTGGAGAAATCGTGGTATGTGGTCTAGGATTGAGGGATTCTGTTGAACCTAAAACCCAAATGGAAAAGAAAACACATTTCACATACGTGGATGTCTGTCTTACAATAACTTACGTGGAAACTATAAACTACTCCTTCTTGTTAGCTAACAATAACTGGAATGATGTCAATTTTTTTCTAGCCTTTAATCAAGAATGCCCTAAGAAATCTAAGTGAGGTTTAACACAGTCAATGAGAACACAAGAGTATATACATATATTCCAGCTTCATATATATGCCCAACCCAAATTGCTTATGGAATAAACACAATTCCTATTTTAAAACAAGATCAAGATCTAGATCTGTATGTAATACAGATCTGGCAGGGAGAAATGTCAGCAGTGTTGTGGGTTAGTGCTTTCAACTTCCTACTTCATAATTTTTAAGTTTTTTTATTATTAAGTAAGCACTATCTATATAATTTTAAATCTCTTCCATAAGGCCTCAAAATTTAAAATAAGATCTCCTTTATAAAATTTCTTAAAGAAAAACAATACTAAAACAGATATAAAAGAATATTAAGCATCTACAGTTTTGCTAAGGATTTTGCTATCTGTAGGACCTCTCCTTCAAAATAAAGAGTCAAAGGGCTGGGGTTGTGGCTTTGCAGTAGAGCACTCATCTAGCACGTGCAAGGCCCTGGGTTCGATCCTCAGCACCATATATAAATAAATAAATAAATAAAATAAAGGTATTGTGTCCAACTACAATTTAAAAATATTTTTTAAAAAATAAAGAGCCAAAAAAGTAACCCAAATATAAGTTTAGTGAAATAAAGCTGGAAGTCAACTTTTGTGTTCATTTTTTTTTTCATTGTCCTGTTTAAACAGCTGTTGACAAGCAGTGGGGGTTGGTTTACTTCCACAGCAAGCCATCGAAAGACAAGGGTCTCCTTGTTGCCTCTTCTCAAGAGCACAGGTCCTCGTCTATCACCCTTTGTGCCCTCATCCCCCTTCACTTTTCTACACATAAAAAAAAGCCAGCTTTTTGAAGAGACTAATAATTATTCTCTTTAGAGAATGGTCTCTCCATCAATGTGCTATGTCACCTCGTTCCACCCCAAGAACCAAATCACTAAAAGCCCTCATTTTGAAACCCTCATGATATCATTCTCTCATTTCTGACATACCTAGAAACCAGAAAAAGTGGTTGTTATGTATTTCAGAGTTGCTTTTGGTTTGGGTTCTGCATGCCACCTAATTCAGAGTCTTGCTTTCCAGCTCAAATTCTATCACCACTCTGCTAACGCCAATAAGCATATGGATGAACATATGACCATATGACCTTGACCATTTTAACTCCAAAGATTTTTACTCCCATGATACCCGCTACTCATAGACAAGTTTTCTTATTACTTTCAGAATTACATTCTCAATACTTTAAACAGACTTTATTCTTACTCCAAATTATTCTAACTCATATTATGTGAAGCCTTCTCTATCCAAAATGTCCTTGTAATTTCATCTTTCTCATTTGTTTCCTCAAATGGCTCTGCCAAGCCCTCCTCCCTGGTTTTAGTCATAACCCTCTCACCTGCCTGTCTCTGATCTCACTGGCTGTTCTTTCTCAGCTCAGTTCACTCCTCTGCCCCAATTTGCTCCTTAATGTTGGCACTGGCTAAGTCTCTCCCCAGACCTCGGCTACAATCAATCGCTCAACTCTATAGAGTGGGGTGATCATATAAAAGCCCAAAGTATCAACTGCTTCTCCATTTTTATCTCTATGCTGGTTCTACTTATAACTCTAGAGCAGTCCTGTCCAACAGAAATATAACATGAGTCATGTGACAGAGTAAAATGCCACATTAACAAAAGGAAAAGGGGGTTGGGATGTAGCTCAGTGGCAGAGCATGAGTATTGCCCTAGGCTCAATTTTCAGCACCACCAAAAAAAGAAAAAACAAGTGAAATTAATTTCAATATATTTTCTTTAAAATACCCAAAATACCATTTAACATGCAATCAATATAAGTTACTAAAAAGGCATTTTCTATCCTTTATTTCATATTAAGTCTTTGAAATCTGGTGTATTTTTAACACACTTAGAGCACATCTTCCACACAGCACATTAGAACGAACTAGTCATATTCTACATACTCAATGGCAGGTGATTACTGTATTGGCCAGCACAGTTCTAGATCCATATAAACAGCTCTTCTCAGTTATTCCACATGAACTTCCTCAACTCTTCTCTTAGCCCTCACTTCTAGTGTGTCATGAAATTCTTTGGACTCAAGACTTCTAACCATATCCCTCTACTTCACACTTATCTTCACTGGCTCATCAACACCCTGATTCAAATCATGTGTGTCTTTCAAATGGCAAAACACAACAGCCTCCAAACCAGCCTTTACAGTTCTGTCAACATAGCCTCATTGTAATGCCAGGCATGCATTAAAGAACAGGCTTTACTGGGAAGAGAAAACATACAAAGCCAGGGCTGGCAAGACAGGGATATACTATTTTCTTCAATAACTCTTAGAGGTTTACTAGAACCAAGGTATAGTGGACAAAAGGGACCCTACAATGTGACATGGTTCTACTCACAGGAAGAAATTTCCTCCCAGTGAGTCTCCCCTTCTATGTGGTAAGTGTGATAAAATGTCTTTATCAGATAGGGAATGCCCAGGCTGCCTGGCAATATGGATTTGGGATCCCAACCATCTCTAGAGCTGACTCAAAATACCTGATAATGCTCTAAAACTAGGGATCTTGGGGGAGACTGAGGCTTTTTAAAGCCCATGGAGTTATTGTTCCTCCTCTCCTAACCAGTCCCACGGTAAGCCGAGTTTGAGTGTCACCCTTACAGCTGGGGAGGGGGTGTCTTACTTCCTATGCACCTTGTTATCTAGGTCACTCCTGAGTGATTTTCCTCCTTGCATAACACACAAAATGCAAATCTGATAGTACAGTAACCCTGATACACTATACTAATAGCTAGAAGTATAAAAGCCATGGGACTATCCCACAACACTTACTACAGTCTGGCTTGCCTTACCTGCTTCTTCCCCACAGATAACCTGTGTCCAAACACACTGAGCCACTGCACTTTTCCACAGCAGCCCTGGTCTTCCATTCTAGCATGCCTTTCCACATGCTGCTCTGTGTATCTTAGACAACCTGAAGTCACCTGACTCTCACATTCTTCATAAAAACCAAAGCTTTCAGACGCCACACCTCACCCTGACCCCACTCCCTTGAATTCACATTGTATTCCCTTTGTAATTTCCTTTGCCCCAAAGATTATCCATGATCCAAAAGATCCCTGTGCATCCTCTGAGCATCTCACTCAGCAATGAATTATGTCAATTATAGATCTCCCCCCATAAAGTGTAAGTTCCTCAAAAATACAAACTGTTTCATGCCTGGGACACAACGAGTACTCAGTAGAGGTTTCTGAGCTGAATGAATAAATGCTGGAAGTTAAGACATGATTACATACCAGATTTTGTGAGACTGTTAGACTCTGTTTCTTCTAGCCGAACATCTGAAAATGAAGCTTCTGAAGGTAACTTCTTCTGCTCATCTTTTAAACTCTGAGCAATTTGCTGCATAGAGAGATCAGAAAGAACACTATAGTCTTGTTTTGAGGAGTGTGTGGCAATATGAACTGGCTGAAAAGATGTTGGGGAACTCACATAAAATCAAAACATCATCCTATAAGTACTTCCTAATTATAAAGGGGGAAGTATACACCTAATCATTCATGGAACAACCTGTCATTACGTGCCTTTGATGTATGGAAGTAAAAAGTACACATAAGCTATTTGGCATTCTTACAAAAAATAAATAAGTAACCTGAATTTAAGATAAATCTATATAATGTGGCATATTCTATAACAAAGCTGGTCTGGTCTCTCTAAAAAAGTCATTCTATAAAAACAAAAAAACAAAGGAGGTGGGGAAAGAAAGGAGTCTTAATTTGTTCAAAAGAGATTAAAGAGACATAAAAACCAAATGCAACACAGTAAACTTGATGGATCCCATTTCAAAAAGCTTTTGGTCCAGTTATAAAAGACATTTGAAGGACAAATGAAGAAATTTTAATATGAACTATATGTAAATAACACTGCTGAATTAATGTTAAATTTCTTTTAAGTGTGCAAAATGGTATTGTGGCTATGTGGCAACAATTCTATTCTTAGAAAAAGTACTTAGGATGAATTATCAAGATGTCATCAACTTACTTTCAAATGACTGGGCACCAAAGCATACATTCAAAGACAAAACAAATGTGATAAACATTAACAACTAGTGAATCTTGAAAAAATTACAGATTTGACTGGATATTTGATGATAGCAAGGAACTAAAATGTAAACTCATTTTAGGTGTGAAAATGGTATTATGGTTGTGTTATAAATAAAAGGGCTGGGCTGGGGCTGTAGCTCAGTGGCAGAGCACTTGCCTAGCATGTGAGAGGCACTAGGTTCGATCCTTAGCACCACATAAAAAATTAATTAATTAATTAAAGGCATGCTGTCCATCTACAACTATTAAAATTTTTTTAATTAAAATGCCTTTTAGAGTCACCTACTGAAGTATTTATATATTTTAATGATGTTTGAAACTTGTTCTAAAATAATTAATGCAAGCAAGAAGAAGTAAGGAGGTACAAAAAAAATGAGACTGGCCATGTTGAGGGTTGGGTAATGGTATATAAGAACTCATAACAGTATTATCTATACTTTTACTTGTATTTAAAATTTTCCATTAAAAAAGTTCTAGGTTCTAATTATAACAATAATATACTAAGCATTCTTTAAACTCTGTCCAAAATTAAAAGAAAATGAAGGTACAATATGGAACAGAAAGACCAGAAGATAAACCTAGGCCTTCAAACCATATATAAGAACTAGATATTTTCTAATTCTGAGATGACTCCATGATTTACGAGAATATGACACAGTTCTACAATGTCAGCCAACTACAATGGCTCCTATTATGGACTCTCTTCTATGACACTTATAAAGAAAATAGAAAAATCACAGAAAGCACTAATTGACAATTTAAAAATTAAGAATGCATATGTTCTGGCAAAGGGGGAGAAAACTGAATATAATGTTTAAAAAACAGAACTTAATGTTTAATTCTTCAAGGTTTTAAAATTATTATTTCCTATGATTTTCACAGCAAGTTTAACTTGATTTCACATTTTGAGTGAGAATTAAAAAAGAAAAATCCTATTTTAACTAGCATGAAACATTCAAAAGCTGTGTGGGGGCAGGAAGGAGATAAGGTGTGGAGCCCCTACCTCCATCATGACTAATTTATCAGGATATGCCAGGTCTCCAGGAGCTGGTTTATAGCCTGTGATGTCTGTCTGAATGTAGATGTGAGTTCGGTACACAAGTCGCTCTTGTACATCTTCCAACATCTGCTTTACTCCAGCTGCAAATGCCCCCAGTTGTTCAGCTAATAAAAAAAAGAAACATATCATCTACTCCTTTAGGCTCAGGAAACTATTTTCTTCTCATCAAGCAGAAACAGTATTAACCATTTTTGCTCCAGAGACTGTGGTTGATTCTATTTCAGAATAACTCAAATGACCTAAAATAAGTTTAATAAATGTTTTCAATTTCTTCAGTTTTAAAATTGGTCCTTGTATCTCCTTCCTGGGACTCTGCAAAATTATTTTTATTATTAATATGAATAATAAATATGAATTCTAAGAGTGCCTTGGACTCTTCAAAATTCTTTTAGCCAGGCACAGTGGTATATGCCTATTATCCCAGTAATTTGGAGACTTAGACAGGAGGATCACAAGTTTCAGGCTAAGCACCTTAGTAAGACCCTGTCTCAAAATAAGGGGAAGGGGTAGTGGAAAGCAGAGGATGTAGATCAGTGGTAAACTGCCCTGAGTTAAATCCCAGTACCAGAAGACAAAGAAAAAAAAATTATTTTATATAGCTTCAGACTAATCCTAAGAGATAGACCTGGCAGCTTATTAATTGGGTTATAGTCTACATCTTATAAATAAATTGAGTCCCACATATACTGACTTAACATTTTCACAAAGACAAAAGGTAAAAAATAAAAATATATATGAGTTTATAAAGACTTCTTCATTTCTAAGATGCCATCAATGTTAAGACAACCAGTATTTCAGTAATATCTTTCCAAGGGATAGACAGTTGGAGACAGTATATAATAACATACATAAAACATTCATTTTAATTAAAAAATTGTCTTATGAAAAAAAAACTGTCTGATGTTCAGAAGCATTAATAAGGGAGAAAATGTATATATTAGACTAACTAAATACAACAGGAATGACTATAAAAGAATAACAAACTCATAGAGTCTACTAACAAAAGCCAAGGTGAAGACAATAAATTCTGCCAGTTCGTGAAGGGTATTTTTTATAAAGGTATCTAAGTATATGATTAAGAAAATCATGTTTTCTATGACAATCAAACCAAATATCAACAAAGTAATCAGATGGATAGGGCAGAGATGTTCCAGAGAACTGCTTTCCTTTATTTGTAACTATTTGAGCTTATTTGTAATTTCAAAAATAATGAATCATTAGAAAATTGCTTTTATTTGTTATTTCAAAAATTACTACGTATAAATCTGCTAAAATAATTCCAATTTTTAATCAAAAGTATGCGATATAGCCAGGCACGGTGGCACACACGCGTAATCCCAATGGCTCAGGAGGCTGAGGCAGGAGAATCTTAAATTCAAAGCCAGCCTTGCAACAACAAAGCACTAAACAACTTAATGAGATCCTGTCTCTAAATAAAATTCAAAATAGGGCTGGGGATGTGGCTCAGTGGTTGAGTGCCCTTGAGTTCAATCCCCGGTACCAAATAATAATATAGTCAATTGCTTTATATTCTGGTAACACTGTAGTAGAAATGCCTAATCCAAAACTAAAAGTCAGTTCTCTCTAGATTCCAGATGCCAGAATGAAAAGTGACTAATTAGGCTGCAATGTAGAAATGGATGGTTTGCCTGCCATGTGCAAGGCCCAGCACCACAAAAATAATAAACATGATTCTTTATTTTGTTACTAATTTTGCCCAGGTTTTAAAATTCTTTTCCTATTTAATTTGTAACTTTAGTCACAGAATGTTGCATCTTGATTCAAAAAGGGGCAAGGCATCAACCAAACCTTCAAAAATATTTTTTAAAAATTTAAAAATTAGGGGCTGGGGTGGTGGTAGACTGCTCACCTAGCATGCATGAGGCACTGGGTTCGATCCTCAGCACCACATAAAAACAAACTAATGTATCCACCTATAAAACTAAAGATACATAAATAAATATTTTTTTAAAAAATTTAAAAATGCATAAGTTAAGTATTTATGCATTGGGATTATGGGAGGAAAAAGATCTAACTTTTTTTCAAATTCACTACATCACAGACATAATTAAAAGACTTTTAAAATATTCACTTCTACTTATTTACCATTGTTCTGTACATGATCTTCAAGCACTTCATTTTTAAGAATTCCACAAAGTTCCGACAGAGTCTCTAAGTGAATAACATGAATTATCAGTGGCCTGAAGACATCATATAATGACACGCACAGTTTCTCCAAAAGCTCACTAAAATGAAAGAATAAAATATGGTTATTAGCAGTAATCTTTCAAGACTTTCTAATACTTTAAAAGCTTCATTGATTACTTCTAGCCAATAAAAATAATAAATATCTACTGGAAAACAGCATCTGGGAACATTATAGAATGAGAAATGATAGGCTGAAAGTATTTTTGTGAAACTTTTTTCTTTAAAAGCTCAGAATCAATAAACAATCCACAGAAGACAGTTCAAATTTAGCTTCCTGCAAAAGTCAACCTATTATAACTTTTATTTATTTTAGCAATAATATTCTGTATGTCCTTTCAAAAACAAAACTATTTCAGTAGAATTTGATTACCTTTTATATTTCACTTCACTGTAAATCAAATGGTATGTTTCCTCCTCAAAACTTTTTAATATGTACAGGTTTAGATAAATAAAACTCAAAGTAATATAGACACATACCCAGTATTTTGAGAAATTTTAAACATTTGAAAAGAAAAAAATTAGGTTGTCTATATTCTTCATATTGTCAACAGTACATTTCTATATATAGTATTTCATCAAAAGTGATCCCTCAACCAAAACCGTAAAATATATTTTTTCTCTTCCTCATTACTAAAGTCATAAATAAAAATCTTTAAGAGTCAAAATAGCCAACATGAAGAAACCAAAAGAGACTAACAGAAATGAAAGACACTTTCAGAAAAAGAAAAAGTTATTAAATAGTATCTGTATTTTAAGTACCTTACGTTAGAATCATGAAATTTTTTAACTAGAAGGAATTATTTTACTAAGTGCAAACAGGGGATCTAGATTCCTGCATAGAATTCTTCCTGTTGTACCAAAAAAGTCTCCATAATTATACTATGTCAACCTTTAAACCACATATTTATTTTAAGAAAATAACCTACCCCATCCATCAATATTCTGTTCACAAACATAAAAAAGTTAAAACACTGCAGTTAATTATATAATACTCCTATAATACACTACTCCATCATGGCCATTAGCAAATTAAGTCTTATCAACAAGAGTTAGATCCCATGTACTTACTACCTACTCTAATTTTGATGTCGGTTTTGTAAAAAATTCATTGTAAAGTTGGTGCTCATCCTGGCATACATGGACCATAAAGGCACAGCCACCGCGAACCTGCAGTAAACACATACACCACCTGCAGTTAGAGACACATAACATTCCAGCATTTGTGATATAAAGCCAACACTTTTACTGCAAAAAAGAGTATGCATACATTTATAAAACAACTTATCAAAGAACAAAAAAAAAATGATTTGCTTCCATAGATTAATGCCCAATGGGATTACAGATGATTTAAATTTTTTATTAATGCTTAATTTTCTCAACTTCTGATAATAACATAAATTTCTAGTTGAAAAACAGAATGTTTTTAAAAAGAACCTTTATGTTTTTCTATAGTATGAATTAAAATTGCAACTAGCCAAAAAAGTACTTCTGCAGTACAAGTGAGGCTAAAATTAAACTGTCAAAATAAATCCACTAACTTTGATGCCTCACCTTTCACAGAACAATACTTACTGATGAATCTTCATACCTCAAAAATAAATTAAAATGAAAATAGTTTGCAAAGTTAAATAAGGCTTAATACTAAACTAGATTTATAATAACTGAAAAAATTTTTTAGTTTTCTGACATGGGAACCCAAACTGATTTACCCAAGTAAATAAGGGGGGTTATCAAAATAGCTCAGAGGAAGGATTAACATTAAACCAAAACAAGGAGAAACTTACCAAGGCACAATGATCTCTGTTATTTTGGCTGGTTAACTCTGTGACAGTACAGGCAATACTAGGGCCCAGAAGGAGCTCCCGCTGATCAAGGTAACATTGGTGGATATCATTAAGCAGTTGCTGGTATCTGGTGGAAAGCAAGTAAGATTGGGATGTGAATCTTTAATTTCTAATAATGTAAACTAAATCTGGTCTTAAATCCCAGAATAGGTTATTAAATCTCTAAAAGCATAATGGTCACACCTCAGTTGCCTCTCAAACGCTTGGAAATACAGATATAAAATAAAACCCATAATTAAGTGATGTCGTAAGCTTCAAATTTTAAAGGATTTCACTTCCAAAAGAGAGACATCAGGTCTGCCCAAATGAAAAGGAAATACTGCTTTGGGGAAATCTGCTGCCATTTAAGCTTTCCAAATTAGGTCTAAGAAATTGCTCCCCCAAGTAAGTTATATACTGCAAGAACAAGATTGGAGGCGTCTGCTCAGAAGATATCAGTGACACAACTAGATCTGGGAAAAATAGTACAGGAGGAGATAATCAAATCAAAGAACATCTGAGTACTCACTCAGGTATTTTTTCAGATCGCTGTTCTATTTGTTCAATAAGAGTCTGCAGAATAAAGAAAAATACATTGAAAAGCATCTTTTTAATTGTACTTTCAATTACTTTCTGATTATAACAGCATCACACACTCAAAAAACTTTTTACATACAAGTTAAAATAATAAAAAAAACTCCTGGATAGTACTAAAAAGTAAACACACTTAATATTTCAGTATATAGTCTCAGTTCTTTGTACCCACTGTTACTATATTTTTCTTTAAATGTAACTGGAATTATACCATATATTTGGTTTTATAGTCTGTTTTTTAATTATCAAGTAAATCTGGTATTAGATAAAAATGTATAGAAAGTCTTAGCATGGTACCTGATACCTGAATGAATGAATCATCATTATAAATAAACATTACACAAATTATTACACAATATTCTATACCACACTATTGAGTAGATATATTCTGAGTCAATTACTCCTCTGTTCAACATTTCAGTTGTTTCCAAAGAATCATAATCTATTGGTCAAGAACCTGAAGTGAAACTTTGGGGGTTTGAGTGTCTGCTCCACATAGCTGTTTGAGCCCAGGCAAGCTGGTTCACATTCTGAGATTCCACTCCCTATCAAATAAAACAAGTATCATAAAAGCACCTACTTCTCAGGTGGGGACCCCAACAAAATGGATCAAGAGAGAGATGTATATTAGGCTTTTGGTCTTTTCTCCTAAACAATTTTTAGAAAGGAATCCACATACATGCCTACCAGCAGTCCTGTTTGTCTCACCAAATCCTCAAAAGCACTATTATACCTTAATGTGCCAATTTCTGACAAACAAAAAACAAAAAAAAGCCAAACCTAACTTAATTTTTCATATTTTCTGAGGATACTCTGGTCTTTTTATAATAGATCTTCATCTTTCTTATACTGATTAATAAGCACATAGAATATTTAAAAATATTGACCTTCTTACCTGTTGCAAACATTCTAGTGTCTGTCTTTGCTTCTGCTATTTAAAATTCAGAAAATTTAAATTTTATATCCTATATCTTTTCCTAATTTTTTCCAATAATTTTTTTTTTTTTTTTTTTTTTTTTATTTTTGGGTTCACTTATTATAATGTGAAGAGCTTACTTTTTTTTTTTTTTTCCCTCAAATACTTAGCAAATTTTCCCAATGTGCCATGTAGAAAAACTCCAGTCCTTTTTGATTTGGGATGTTTGGAACAAATAGAAGAAATTCCATTGGAATTTTTACTAGGAGTACCCTCCAACCAATAAGCTACCATGGGAAAGAACTGATATTAAAAAACAGTCTCCCCAACCAGAAACAAAATAGTCTTACCCTTCATTCAGTCTTTCATGATTTTCAGTCTAATTTTATCATTGTCTTCATCTCTGTAATTCCATTAACGTTACTGCTAGGTGAATGTTATGCTGTCACTAAATGTATTGCTAGGCGAATGTTATGCTGTCACTAAAATAAATGGGACCCCATGACACACACTAATTGATTTCTAATAGTACATAGGAAAGCATTTTGTAATCACCCACCACACTAAGCTGTGTTATACATAACATTTCTTTCCTAATCACATTTTGTCATTGGTATTTGGCTAATAAACAAGCAATCAATCAGGTACAATCTATATCTCATACTACCAATTAACCACTCTTTATATCTTTTATTTAAAAAAAAACTAAGTTAAAAAAAATCCCTTTAATTGGCTGACTTTTAAGAAAGAAACAAGGAAGAGAGTGAAGTCAACAGTCAGCAAAAGTAAATAATTCTTTGTAAGAACTTCACAATGAGTAAAATTAACTGTATCTCAGATGTGTCATATAAATAACACACACACACACACAAACTCTCTCTAGATAGATAGACAGACTTTTGCTCCCCCCATTTCCAATTGCTTTATCAAGATAAATATAAAGTGAATTCCTTTGCATACCAGATGTGCTAAGGAAGCACATTCCCAACCTCATGAAATATACTGCCAATACAACATCTACTTCTCACTGAATGACTGCAAAAATCTTCCTTGTTAATCATGCCTTCCTATCTCAAATCTCTCTTCAACATAATTCATTTTTATACTGAATCCTTAATCTTATGAGATGGCAAATTTGAACAAATCACTCTCCAGATTAAGACATCTCACTGGGGGCTGGGGATGTGGCTCAAGTGGTAACGTGCTCGCTTGGCATGCATGAGGTGCTGGATTCAATCCTTAGCACCACATAAAAATAAAATAAAGATGTTGTGTCCACCGAAAACTAAAAATTAATATTAAAAAATTCTCTCTCTCTTTAAAAAAAAAAAAGACATCTCACTGTTCTCTAATTTTCCTTAATTAGCCTGACATTTAACATCCCTTGTGAGATGGTCTTTGTTATCTTTATTGTCATCTTTCCCATCACACACCACTAATGTCCTGTATTTCAATGGGAAATTGACAATAAGAAATTACATGGAGTCCTCCCAAAATACAAATCTTTTATCTCTAACAACCTTCTCTATAAGGCCATTCTCTCTATATATTATTGAAAAAAAAAATTCTTTTAGCAACCCTCTTAGGTCCACTAAATATTGAACTTTTTAAGCTCAATTATCACCTTCAGCTAGAAAGCTTCCCCAAGCATCAGAGAAGAGCTGGGTGTTTCCTGCTCTTTGGACTTCGGAACACCCAGCACCCAGCACCTAAGACACACTGATGAAATGTGAAAAGACAATGCCTATATTTCATTCATGTTCATTTTCCCAGGATAAGCAAAGGGCTGGCTAAATAAATGTCACAGCAAAATATGCTACTTATGATAATAGACTTACTCGGACTTTGGGGGCAGCAGTTCGAAATTTTACATAAAATAATGTGAAGGCATTGTCTGCATTAGGTACAGATGAAGGATCCTAAAGAAACATGAGGGAAGATAGGGAAGAAAGATAATTAGCAAACAAATAATTATTCAGAAAATGTAACATTAACCATTTCACAAGAGTCTTGGTTGGCCTCTAGAACAATCAAAAGCTTAGAGAGAAAAATCTCAAAGATTACATATTATTATTAGTTATGAGAAATAAGTAAGTGGAAATGTCACCTCTCCCCCCTTATTTTCATTAAAATTTGCCTTATTATTTGAATATTAGCGGTAAACAGACCTAAATTCAGCATATGACAGGGGCCAAATTATTTAACCTCATTTTGATTCAGTGCATTCATAAAATTTCCACAATACATACTTACAGAGGTTTTCTGCAGTTCAACAGTAAAGCACTAGTGTAGTAGGTACTAGTACTTCCTAAACTCACTGAAAATTCCACTAAATAGAAAAGTACAGTCTGGCTGTTTCATCTCATCTAAAAGCAATGTGAACAGTAAAACAACCCAAATCACTGGCTTTGAATTCAAAGTTAAAGACACTCCATGTTCTTCAGAAAATAACCTTAAAAAATAAAACATAAACTTTATGGTTTTATTTTCTTAGGAAAGAAATATGCTCAATGACCATGGTCCTAGCTAATTCCATTCTTGTTTTCTAATCTAACACCCTGTTTTTTCCCCACTGTAACTAATAACTGCAACCTGTAACCTGTTTCCTTCTTTTACTGATTAGTTCTCCTAAATGAGTCCCTTTTGCTACTATTCTCCTGAATATGAGTTCCTTTTGATACTATACACCTCTTAATACTACCAAGCATTAGAACATACTCAATAAAAATGTTTGGTAAATTTAAAAAAATATAAAGACTACCAAAAAATAGATAATAAGGTAAAGAAAACGATTTGGGGCTGGAGAAAGGGCTCAGTAGTACAGCACTTGCCTAGCATGCACTAGATATTGGGTTCAACCCTCGATACAACAACAACAACAACAAAATTAAAATTAAAATTATTCACCACACAGACTAAGCCACTTTTACTATTTTGATATATTTTCCAAAATTTTCATGAGAAAAAAATGTTTTAATATTTTTCTCATTTTGTTATTTATTATGTAATAGATATGCTTATCACACTGTTAAATATTATTTGAAAATAAGACTACAATGGATACTTATAAAATAACCATTTTCCCTGTTATAAATAAAACTGCAGTACAGATTCTTATTTAATTTAATAAAAGGTAAAAAAAAATTTGAATAAAGCACTAATTTCAAACAAAGTTTATGGAAGATAAATGTATCAATAATAAAAAAACAAGCTGACATTGGGATCAGTTAACTCACCCTTCTTAGTAACTGATTTGTAAGGGTCTGTAGTGTATTCACAGTATATGTCTTCATGAGGTGCAAAGCTTTAGAAAGACATTGTTTAAACTTCAGTAAATATACAGGGTAATCTTTAAAATTAGGCTGTAAAAGAAAGGGAAAGATTTACAAAGAGGAAACAAATGCTAACAGAAAGCAAACTTTAAATGAAAATCAAGGTGTCTTTTAAGTAATATATAAAACTCAGAAGTAGGTTTCATGTAGATCATAAGCTTCACAAAGACAATCAATCTGACTGACTTGGTCTCAGCCAAATACCCTACATCTGACACAGAAAAGAGGTTCAATCAATATTTGCATTTGTGAGCAAAATATATTTTTATCACCCAAAACTTGGAATATGTAAAGTCCGTATAGAAAAAGGACTTAGGAGACATGAATACAGCAGTAACTCCTTGGGGGATAGGTTAATCAGAGAGTTTTGTCTTTATTTCCCCCAATTAACATTTCCTGTTTCCAAAGAAAAATCTCACACATCAGGATATTAATAACTTAAAAATGGCTCATCCTTTTAGACAGGATAAAGTTGAGTGAGCCAGGACCCTTTCCATTCCAGGAGTCACCTTGGGAGCTAAAATTATTTTTTATATCACTACTGATACCAATAAATTTACTAGTTTTTATTCAACATGCTACAACACATATAGCCATCCCTCAGTATCAAAGGAGGACTTGTTACAGGATCCCCAAGAATATTAAATTCATGGATGCTCAACTCATTTATAGAAAATGGTGTAGACTTTACATATATCACCTTCATACAACCTCCTGTAAACTTTAAATCATTTCTGTATTACTTATATATAATACCTAATACAATATGATTCCTACATAAATAGTTGTTATACTATATTGTTTAAGACCTAATGGCAAGAAAAAGTTTGTGTGTGCTCAATACAGGACAATTTTTTTTTCTGAGTCTTTTCAATTCTCAGTTGATTGAATCCACAGGAGCAGAACCCTGGATACACAGAGCTGAATATATTTTTCCCTTCAGGAGAAATAAATATTTTACAGCACAAGAAATAATAACAAGAATGTTAAGATTTCTTTAAAAAGATATAAAATACCATGACTTACATGAGATGAGATATATGTTATACAATCATCTAACTTGGCCAGCATAGGTATAAATCCTTCACTATTCACAGACAATGTAGGGGAATTCAATTTCTTCGAGGAGAAAAACAACAACAAAAACAAATAATCAAATGACCAAAAAAAAAAAAAAAAAGTCACATAAGGAACAGTTAAAAATTACAAATTAGAGTTAATATATATATATATTCCTTTAGGATATGATAGTGCCTTTACATTTTAAAAGTCATCAAAATATCCTTAAATATTGTCCATGTATAAGAATAAAGAGGAAACAAACAAAAAAAAATACTGATTCTGATTATTCCTAATAAGCTTTAAAGGGGCTCTGCAAAATTAGAAAATATTTTTATTAAACACTGCACAATGTTATATTGAAATAACACATCAAGTATCCAAATTTCCACTTTCTAGCACTTGACAATGTGTATACAATGTGTATACAATGTGTATACAATGTGTATATTTCTACTTATAAAGGTTTAACTAGCAGTCACACTAAATTCAGCAATCATACTATGAAAGTAAAATATTATTAGACAATTATGTCTTATCTTGAATTCAAACAGCATGGCAATAAACTGTTTCCCATTGCATTTCATTGTTAACTATTAGTTTTATTTCAGTGTCTTTATTAAACTATAATAATTATGATTATTTCAGTAACTCAACACTATTTTTACATAATTATTATGATTAACTTATGGTTAAGAAACATAATTTACACAGCAGTCTTTATTGAGTCTATTATTTTGAGATATAGCATATATTATGAGAACTATACATTTCTTCAAACCAAACATGAGAAACAGTTTCTAAAACTTTGACTACCATTTTACAGTAATACAACCACAGCAAGATTTAAAATTGAATATTTCTTATTATAATCCTCACAGTTTACAAATAAGATGTTATAAGAAGAACAAATAAGATTTTAATAACAATAACACAATTTAAGAAATACTGCTTAAATCATGCTTAAAAAATTCTGAATTGGTAAAGGAATCTCCATGGGCTACAGAAAGGAATATCTATCGGTAAGCTATTACCTTAAAATATCACTCAAGCCAATTTATAAGTTTGAAAAGCTTAATTAATTTATAAGTTTATAATAAAAAAGGAAAAGATGAAATAAAAATCATTAACTTTATTAAAAAGTAAAAAAAAAAACTTACTGTGTTAATAGTTTCCAATTCATTAAAATAAGAAAGCTTTTGTTGAATGTTTTCAGCCAGACTGACAAGTTCCGACTTGCATTTTTTAAAAGAGAAAAATCAATGATTATATGACAACTCTCCAGTCATAAAGTTACTTTCAACAAATTTATATTAGACATTTAGGTTTATATCAGATATAAGATTTCAGAATAATGCTCAAATATTTCTGCAGTCAGGACAAGAATTACTACAAATTTCATATTATAAAATAATAATTGTTTTTAAAAACACATAAGCTGAGCACAATGGCACATGCTTTTAATTCCAACAACTCAAGAGATTGAGTCAGGAGGATGCCAGTTCTAAGCAGTCTCAGCAACTCAGTGAGGCCCTAAGCAACTTAGTGAGATCCTATCTCAAAGGGGTAGTGATGTAGCTCAGTGGTAAAGTGCCTCTGGGTTCAATCTTCAATACCAAAAAAAAAAAAAAAACCCCACAAAACACATGGAGAGAAAAGTTTGAGATATACTAACATCAGTGTTCTAAGTTACAAGTTTAAGTGAAACCTTGATCAACTGATCTTTTCAAAATTTCCAGCATTGGGCTGGGGATGTGGCTCAAGCAGTAGCACGCTCCCCTGGCATGCGCGGGGCGCTGGGTTCGATCCTCAGCACCACATAAAAATAAAATAAAGATGTTGTGTACACCAAAAACTAGAAAAAAATAAATATTTAAAAATTCTTTCTCTCTCTCTTTAAAAAAAAAAAAAAAACTCCAGCATTAATACAATCACTCTGTTTGAAAAAAATGTTACTACTAAAGAATAGACAGAACAAACTAGTGGTGGGTTTACTAAAATCCATTAAGCTCTGACATTATACTGACACCTACAAACTCAAAACCTGGGAAAGCTTGACTTTGCCCCTATTCACAAGCTTATTTGGAAAAAAGTAGGTTGTTTTCATAAGGACCTGCATATTTGTCACAAGGTCTCATACAGAGCAAGGTTCAACATCTACTCCAAGAAATTAAGGAAACTGTAATTATATTACATTTATAATACAATAATTTAATATAATTTAATTTACTTAAAAATAAAGTATTTACTATAATTACTGACCCTCTCTCCTACTCCAAATTACCTGTTCTTTTAGGAGCTGTTCACAGGCTTCATGTAGGGTTCCTGTCTTATTGGACACAAAAAGATACTGTTTCTGCAATGACTCCAGATGCTGAAGAGCACTGTTTACATCATTCAATATAGCATCACACTGCTCCTGAAACCCAGACAAGTAATCCCTCATCTGTCTAGAAAACAGAACCAAAAGGGGATTGGCAATAATATTTTCCCCCAATAAACATAGTCAATAAATAACAATTTCCCAAAATGCTTGAACTTTAGGAGGAAAGTATAACCTACTAACAAAAGATTATATTAAAAAATGTAGCAAAAGCTATGTCATAATCTATAAGGCAAGTCACTGATACTACAAGCAATGAAAGGAATCAGCCTTGAAGCCATAACCTGACTTTTTACACACAAGGCAATAACACTGAAAACTTTCAAAAGCTGGGACGATAAGCCATCCTTAAGAAGCAAGTAGGGTTGATTCTTCAGATCACTGCCACCTTTGAAAGATGATGTGATGTTGTAAAAAGAACTCTGGATTTGGAATTACAAGATCTGGGTCCAAGTTCGAGTCTGCTTCAATCTACATGACATTGAGCAAGTTGCTTAATATTCTCAGGTCTCTGTTTGCTCATTTACAAAATAAGAATAGTATTGTCTTTCCTCACACAGCTACTATGAAAATTAAAAGGAATCATACATCACACAGCTTCATATACTGTCTAGCAAAACAACCATCAATAAATGTTAACTGATAGCCAGGTGCAGTGGCTCACGCCTGTAATCCCAGTGACTTGGAAGGCTGAGGCAGGAGGACTGCAAGGTCCAGACCAGCCTCAGCAACTTAGTGAGAACTTGTCTCAAAATATAAATAAAAAAAGACCCAGGTTATACCTTAATGGTAGAGCACACCTAGTTAAATTGCCTATACCTCAAAAAATAAAATAATAAAACGTTAACTGAATGTGAGTGTTCAACCTACAGTTCCAAAGTTAGCTAGAAAATTGTACACTGTCTTTTTTTCCCATATACATAAACAGAAATACATAGCTACACTCGATCTAGATGGCCATCCTTAAAGCTTCCTGTAGATGTTTCTCCTTCTACAGAAAAGCAACAAACACCTTGTAAAAATCCTGTAAAATTCCTACTACCCAGTCTTCTCTGGAGTTGTTATTATTTTTTAATCATACAATTTCTAATGCCACCTGTAATGACCCAAAGCCTCTCCAGCTATTCTTAAAGAAAATGTGGTTGCTTGGGTTTTCTTTGCACCTTAATGTATTTAAAGACAAATATGGAATGCTTGAGATGACTATGGACTAAAAATTAGTATATCCAACAAATACAAAAGCCACACATACCTATATTTAGTTCCTTCATCCTGATCCATCTGAGTTTGCAGTTTTGCAAACCATGAAAAAAACTAGAAAAATAAAGAGTATTAGACTGTGAACCAAAGTAAAAAAGATAAAATGAAAAGTGACTAGATGCTAAACAGCAAGTTAAAAAGGCAGACGCTAACTCTTACTGTTGAGGACTCAGTCATTTACCATTAACTTTAAGACAAGAGAAGATAAGTATTACATATGTAATATCTATATGCTAGGAAAAGCAAGGAATATTAAAAACATTGGCCATTTCCAGAGTAAAATAAGAGAAAGTATTAAAAATATAATATGTACAAAATAAATTTCTTCCTAAGAAGGTAATGCCTACTATTTGCCAAATTTAAATAGTTATCATAGGGTTTGGGTAAATATCAATATTAATGTTACCTAATCAGAACTGTAAAAATTTAAACTCAAAAATATTAGAATGGTTTAAGAACACAGACTTTGGCATCATCCAAACCTTAGTTTGAATCTACTACCAATCTTAAAGAAAATATCTATTTAAAAACAGGTATATGGAGGTAGGGGTTCATCTTAAACAAGCATGAAGGAACTTTTTGGGGTGATATGAATATTTTAGGTCTTGAAAGTAATAATAGTTATACCAGTATATACAATCATTTAAATCATTACATTTAAAATGAGTACATTTTATTATATGTTTTATTTACATATAAAATGATAACATATTAAGATTCTTTTCTATTTTTAAAGAGAGATATGCAGGTACAAATTTAATATAAATGATTTTGCTTTCAAATAGTCCAAAGTTTGCAGACATGGTGCAAGACTGCCTTCTACAATGCTCAGGGGGGGATTCAATGTCAAGGGCATGTAGTCTGGCCGTGTACCTTGGCTGTCACTTAGCGTTTATTGTGTGCCTGCCACACATCGCATTTACATGCATGTAATGCATATAATTATTAATTCTAACAAAAATCCTATAAGACAGGTATAAAAACATCCTTGTTTTACAGATTAGTTAGGAAACTAAAACCCTAAAAGGTTTTTTAAGTGATTTGCCTAAGCTCATAAAGATGGTTAAGTGACTTTCACATGCAAGTCAGAATAACTCAAGAGCCAGAGCTCCCAATTGCTATACATCACTGCCTTTCTTGACTTACTCTAGACACAATTCAGTACATCTGCTTTATATCTTATGTGGAAAATGCCTTAGCTTTAATTCTTAAAAAGACAGAAAGAGAAAACAAGGAAAGCCTATGCATTTATGTCTGAAAAATCAGCAACAAGCAGAAACAAAGAAAAGATTACTCATGCTATATTACTGAAAAATAACTATAAACCTTGGTCAAAATAAATGTTCAGTAAGTGGCAGCCAAGGTATGTATTTAGGTTTTTGTAAAAAAAAAAAAAAAAGCCAATAAGCCAAGGGGTGTGTACGTGTGTAAATATGCATGTGCTGGAAGGACAGGTTAACATTTATAATATATGCATTGAGGGAAATCAAATTCATAGTTCATGAAATATTAAAACCTTAATATAATCATATATCAATATCCAAACTTGGAATACTCTATTTTTAGGTATATTTCCAGTATAATTTGGTCATCGATTCATTTAAAACACTTAAGAAACAGCCATAACTAACAGAAAATCATGAATGGTCTAGAAAGATTTGATGTCAACAAGTATCAAATATTCAGACCCTTTAATCAGAACCTTTTTCATTAGCCTATTTTGAGACATCTAAAAAAATTAAACACCCTTAGAAAAAGTAATGCCATTCACCTGCTGTGCAGTTTCAATTCTTTCTTCTTCCATTCCTAAAGAGGTAAAGCCCTTCAAGAGAATATCTTCTGTAGATTCAGGCACTACTGAAGTCAGCTCAACAGGCAGGGAATGGGATGTTATGCTGCACAAGTCTTCAATTGGGAGCTTGAAAAAGAGAGCCACAAAATATTTAACTAAAAAATTCTCCAAATTTAACTCAAGGTTGGGCTTCCATTTTAGTTGTTTTCAAAGAGAAAAAAAATCTCCATTAAATCATATGAGGCTGAATAAATGCTATACAATACAACACTTTTCACTAAGTTCTGTTAAATTTTATTCTCAAAATGTAAACATGACATCAATTTCCCAACATTAGTAAGGTATGATTTTTCAGTTAGCTTTCTAACAATGGACATAAGTGTCTGCTAATCCACACACTTTTTTGTCACTTGAATTTCTTGTGTACCACCAGACAAAAGGAAAAGCCATGGGCTATGCTGCAAGTAGACTGCTCTCCCAGGCTCTAACATAGAAAACTGATCAACCAACAGAATTAATAAATCACACCCAAGAACTAACCAACAAACTCTACCTCTTCCTATCACTTCCTTCTACTGGCACACATCAACTACCTTTCCTGCTAACAAGTTTTGAAATTACAATGGAATAGAAAGAAATTTAAAATTTCCCATAATTTCTTAACAGTCTCACAGATAAGACCTCACCTTGACACCAGTAGACCTAGTACTGTCCTAGTTCTCCACTACTAAAGATAGCCCAGGTATTAATTTACCTGTAGCTGTACAGAAAAGCTGTTTTTAGACCTAAAAGAAAGGGGTAGCAGATGCTGGGGAAAGCAAAAGGGCCAACTATTTAGGTTCCTTCTAGTTTTCAGCCCCTAGTTCATGGCATTTAAGGTATGAAAGGCATGATCCAAGGTCTTAGAAAATTGCTTTGTCCATTTTTCTAAACACAGACCTTTTATCTAAACATTATTTTCTCTTCCAAGTAAAAATAAGCTAGATGCAAAATATACCACCTCTAATTTAGAAACATAATCCTTTAACATGGAGTTCTGTTGTAGATGGGTTCAAATGGTGCTATACTTCTTAATGGCATGGTACTCTTGTTCACTTATAAACTGTGTGATACTGGGAAAAATACTTGCTGCTTCTTTTCCTCAATTTCTTCTCTTATCTGACACAGATACAGTATTTGTATTATCTAACTATCATGAAGAGCAAAGAAGATAGCACAGATGTGGGAAAACTGGCTTCTCAGGAGTGCTAGGAAGCTACAGACAGGAAGTGATCAGGAAAGTCCTTGATCCACTTTTTCCCCAAGAATGAGTCTGACTCAAGAGCCAAGAGGATCCTGGGTGTAGGTAAATACGTCTTACTAGGGGATCATTTGTTTGTGTAAACTCTTCCTAAATGGTAAAAGAATCCCTGAACCACAGGATTGGGGCTCAGCAAGAATTAAGTTTCTCCACAGCAGTAAGAATATACCTGGAGTCTAATATGTCGCCAGCAACTGTGTGCCACCACTAGGGATTCTGTAGGATAGAGGGAGCTGTGCTGAGATAATGGCATGCACTCCTGCTCTGTGGAACCACCCCAATTACCAAGGAGCAATTTCCTGAGGAAGGGGTCATAATCCCCAGAGGCAATGCTGCACGTAAAGTACTTAATGAAAGATTGCCACATAGTAAATATTCAATAAATTGGATCTACTGCTATGATTAGTATTTTTTTTCACTCTTCTTATTAGCAGCAGCAATAGAGTAAATTCATAAATCTGAATCTACACTGCTTCTTGGGAACAGAACAGTCACTAAGCTATCTTTACAATAGTAAATTTTAGGTGTATACAAGCAGACCATAACACAATTCAATCATATAATTCGATCAGCACAGTTTAGAGAATATCTAAACAGACTGAAGGAATCATGGATGAGGACTAGATTTGAAAAGTACACCAGAAAAGACATGGAGAACAGGCCAGAATGAAGAAAGATGAAAAGAATGTTGCTTGCAACCTAACAACAGGAAAAAGTCAAATAATCTAGAAAATCCTAAGCATTCTTAAATCCATCAGGGCTGAGGTTACAGAGTAAACTACATAGCTTAAAATCTGGGGAAAGAGGCATTTCCAGGAAACGTGGAGTTTTGGCTCACTTGCAGGAGATCACAGGAAAAATGGATGACAAGCACCACCCAATCAGGTAATAGAATTCAACTAAATTTTTTTCACAAATTTTTTCACTGACAAAACAGGTGTTCACAACCACTAACGTGGTCTCCTCTACAGACTTCCACTGCCCAGTTTGTGAGTGACAATGTAAACACAATGGTACAGGCCTGCAAGAGAGCACTGCTGCTGTGTGGGCAAGCAGAACACAAAGCCCCACCTGAACCTTTCTCTCCAGAGGAACAAAAGCCTCAGGCCACTGGGAGTGGGGATGACAGGGCAGCAAATTCTGTCAACTGTAGAGCATCATTACAGTGAAAAAAGGAAAAAGTAAACAACTGCTACTGTGGGAATGGGCACATAAAAGAATCAGTAAACTTGAATGTAGGTCAATAAAACCACCCAAGTACATGTATGATTGGATGAATGGTGAATCTCTACACCATGTACAACCAGAGAATTGAAACGTTGCACTCCATTTGTATACAATGAATTGAAATGCATTCTGCTGTCATGTAAAACTAAGTAGAACAAATAAAAAGAATAATAATTAAAAAATAACAAAAAAATCACAGAAAAAATAAATTTAAAAAAACCACCCAAAGTGAAACATAAAGGAAAAACAGAATACAGCATTTAAGAATGACAAAGTGGTATTAAATGATCAGGTATGTGGGTAATTGGAATTCCAAAAGAAGAAAAGAGAAAGCAATAGCAAGAAAGAGAAGAGACGATAGAAATATTTGAAGATATAAGAGTCTCGAGTTTTCCAAAACCAATGAAAGACATGAAATCACAGCGCCAAGAAGCTCAGAGAATCCCAAATAGAATACAACATGCATATACACATACCATGCACACACACACATACATTTTCTAGATACATTATACTGAAACTCCTGAAAACTAAAAATAAAAATGTTAAAGGCATATATATTCTCTATGTAATAATGTACATTATAATATAGAAAACAAAGACATGAATAACAGCAGACTTACCAGAAATTATGTAAGTTACAAGAGAGTGCCATCTTTAAAGTGTCAAAAGACATATATGAATATACAACCAGTGTAACTCTGCATCATGTACAACCATAAGAATAGAAAATTATACTCTATGTATGTGTAATATGTCAAAATACATTCTAATGTCATGTATAACTAAAAAGAATTAAAAATTTAAAAAAAAAATAAAGTGCCAAAAGAAAAACCTGTCACCTCAAAATTCTACACCTAGTGAGAAGACCTTCTTATTTTTGTTTTGGGCATAGAAAAATTGAACCCAGGACCTTACACATACTAGGCAAGCACTCTCCCACTGACCTATGCCCCCAACCCAAGAATATCTTTTTAACATGAAGGGAAAATAAAGACAGTTCAAACGAACAAAAGCTGAGAAAATGTATTACCAGAAGACCTATACTAGAAGAAAAGTTAAAGGAAGATCTTCAGGCATATGAAATAATACTAGGCAGAAACTGAAATGAAGGTAAATATGACAGTATTTACTTTTTAATAATTCAGAAAAAAATGTCAAAAGGAATACTAGTGGCAATATATTGTTGGTTCATAACATATGTAAAAAATAAAAGGTCTGGCAACAATAGCATAAAAAAGGGAAAGGAAGAAATGAAAGCATTATAAGGTTCTTACACTATACATGAGTTAATATAATATCTAAAGGAAGACTATGACTAATTAAAGTGGTGTATTGCAAACCTTCAGTTCTACAATACCACCCAGGCCTTGAATTCAATCTCTCTAAGAAAAGATTCTAAAACTATCTTTAAAGAATATATAAATCAATGACAAAATCAAATTCCTGGTTGTGATACCACATACTACAGTTTTGCAAAATGTTATAAAAAAAGAAACTGGCTAACATGTACAGGGGAAATTTCTTTATGTAGAATCTACAATTGTTTCAATTTCTTCAGTTGAGACAGTAATGTAATAATCACATTCTTCTGAGTTCAAAATTCCAGACAAAAAGTAAAATTCTTCTTGTTCCAGAATCATTTGGACTATGAAGAACAGTGTTTTTAAATGTGTTTATCTGAATAGGTAATAAATTCTCATAGCATAAAATTAATGGAAAATCAGTAAAGAGTTTTCTTTCCTTGGACACATTTCCCAGCCATTCACTTCCAAACTTTGTGGCAGGATATCAATGCTACTAGTTTATTATGTATCTTTCCTTTTCTTTAATATGAAGAACAGTGTTTTTAAATGTGTTTATCTGAATAGGTAATAAATTCTCATAGCATAAAATTAATGGAAAATCAGTAAAGAGTTTTCTTTCCTTGGACACATTTCCCAGCCATTCACTTCCAAACTTTGTGGCAGGATATCAATGCTACTAGTTTATTATGTATCTTTCCTTTTCTTTAAAAAAAAAAAAAAAAGTACTTTTTTTTAACCCAAATAACAGTTCACTATATATATCTTGCCTTTTTCATCTAATATGAAGCATTTTCAATTGTCTCTTTAATAAACAATAAGGGAAAGATGGAATTTACTTTAAATTCATAGTTCTGTCACTAAACTATAAAAAGCTCATTCTTTTAAGTCTAAGAGTACAGAATGTTTAAGTAAAAAGTAGATCTCCATTCTTCCCCTCTTCCCTATCCTTCCAATTCCTCTCTTCTGAGGCAATACCAATGCTTATAAATTTGAGAACTACAAAATTTGAGGGCAGGATAAAGACTCTAAAAGTAAAAGAAAACCAGAGATAATTTCCAACTTTTATCAATCTTTCTTTCATAAATATTATTGAAAAAACATAATCTTTTAAAATCCAAATCAACAGCAGAGTTAAAATGAAAAATAACATTCTCCCCACCTTCATTTTAACCATTTTCAATATTTTTGATATTTTATAAATCTAAAAAACAAATTTACAGCTTCATGTATAAATTCATCAAATAGGTTCTATCCATTGACTCCTCCCTATGTAAGATAAGGAAATTAGTACCCCTATATTTTCTTCTATATTTACTTTTCAGATATATCAACTATACCATCTCTCTTTTACTGTCAAAATTTATAATTACACCTTATTCTGTGATTAAGTCTTTGGACTAATTTTTATACTATATGCTTATATATGTTTTACTATATGCTTCTTGCCTTCTATAATCTGCCAGAATTGTAGGTTCACTGAGAGCATCTTTGGTTTTGGTGTGCCACTCACTTTTACTGTCATTTCAAAAGGACCCAGGGGTGCCATATGCGTGTACTCAGTGTTATTTTGAATTTTAAAAAGTTTATCTTCTAATTTACTTTAGAAAATAAAATCATGAAAACTCTAGATACCTGAGAAGCTGTCACAGATATTTCAGACATATTCTGTATCTAGATGTTGTTAAGTAAACAAGGTAATTTATGAAAATGCTCTCTGATTATTTCAAGCATAAATACTACTTTTCAATCATAAGGCCTTTAAATATCAGAAACAGAAGGCAGCTTCCTATTCCCTTATTCTCTCTAATATAAAACCATTTTCTCTCCAACCAAGCACAAGAGAAACCACAATATAACTACCTCAAATAAATCATTTTTTAAAGTAGCAAAACAAGTTGTTTATTAACAACATTAGAGAAAATTCCCCCATTAGATACATTTGCCCAGCCAACTACTTTTCTCAAAATAGCTGGGATAGAGTGACTAGTCAAGGAGGGGTGTGGTGGTGTCATGTGGTGATGTCTCAAACCTGTCTGTTCTGACCTCTCATTGGTTCTGAGGAGGAGGTAACTCACAGACTCTGGCTCTCTCACATTGTCCTGGCTTCTAGATGGGACAGATACCACAAGAGAGAGAGAGTATAGATCTTAGTAGGGCTGGAGAGCTACAGTATAGCTTATGCAAATGGAGATGCTAACATATTAAATAATGACAAAAAACTATCAAGCTTTGCTTGACCAGCTCCATAAATCCAGGGGGCAAGGAAATAAAATAATAACAAGCTTTACTTCTTTTGTAACTCTGGGTTAGAGAAAAATCACTTTTATAATCAATTGGATCAGTTGACTCCATAAATGAAGCCTTATATTATTTTTTTCTCTTTAGAGCAAATCACTGAAGAGCTACAGATGAAATCTCAGAGCCTTCCTCTTCTTACCTTTGGTCTGAGTGACACTTATACCTGCTCAATCTCAGGCTTCAAATCTATTCTCTTAATAAGTCACAAATCATTTGAAAGAAAGCTCATAAATAATATATTAACAAGAAGCTTTCCATGTGTACTTCACATACCTGACTGCACTGATATTCTCATAATTCTCCATAAGTTTCCATTTTATAAAGAAAATAGAGGCTGTGTGTCTAAGCCACACTGTCTAAAAGAAAACAACAGCTATAATAGTAACTTACAAGTAAATTTCAGGGTAAATTATTTTAGCATTTACCAAGAATTACTAAATTCAGCAGAAATAAAAAGGCCCTAACTACTAAAAACTTTCCCCTTGATATAAGAAACTAGTCTACTGCAATTTTTTTTTAATCTATGGGGAAAAGAATATATAACTCCTTTAAAAAAATTTAAAATAAAAAATAAAAAACTCCTTTCCAAAGGAAAGGAACCAAACTTCTAAAGAATTTAATGGCTTTATGATATTTACTGAGAGTTAGCTGGCCTCTTGCTATTCTACTAACCTGCCTAGCTCCAACTGTTCAGGAAGTAATTTATCTCGTGAAAATTGTGAAACACTACAGAAAATTCTTTAGGATATACAAAATGAAAATTGGGGCTTTTTTTTTTCCAACACCAATGTTAAAAGGATGTAAAGAAAGATTTAAAAAATTATTTACTTCCCATCAGACAAACACTTTAGTAAAGGAAATGAGGGCTGCAGAGAACTTAGAAGCAATAGACTATCTCCCCCTTAAAGATTCCAGGATGGGTAAATAACAGGCTGCTTCCTTCTCCCAGGAAGTCAATTCCAAGACTGCATTTACCAGGGAAACTCACTGAACTTCTGAATTTATAAAGCACATACCTAACCATAACTTGGCAGTACCTTCCCTTCCAAGGCTGGCTTCTTATTTTCCATAGTTAAGTCTCACCTTAGACTGTCAATTTCTCCAAAAGGCCTTCCTCATTGTCTAAAAGGACACATCTCATTCCTTTTGGTCTCACTATCATATATGATTTATTTTTCTTATGTCATGGATCACTGTCTGAACTCACCTTCTTGTTCTTCTTATTACATGCTCATGATCCCCAAAACTATGTGAATTTTCTTATTTATCTTCCTATCCCCAATTCCTAGTTCGGCATATAATTTACGTTAAATGATTACTACATGCAGCTAATAATAAGTATCACTGCGTAATGTGGAAGAGTGAGGTGGAAATGACAAGATTCCACTTACTTCACTCCAAACCTACCCCATGCTCAATACCATTAAAAAACTAAATAGTTTATAACCGTTTACAAATTTTCCTGTAGAACATGCCTTCCACGCTCCTATGGCATTATGAAGTACAAGCATCCTGCTTTGGTGACAAAGTCTAAATCAATTATAAACAGACAGGAAAATTTACAGAGCAAACAACTTGAATTATCCAGAACATAAAAGACTGATGGCCAAGTCAAAGAAAATTCCACTGGCTTCCTTATTTATTTCAGATCCACTTCTTGCACAACATCCTAGAGAACCCAAGAAAGAAAACTTATTTTATGGCAGAGCACACAATAGGAAATATGAAGAGAACCTTTCAAATCAAACCTCTAAAGTCTGAGAGCAGAAAAAGTTGAGGACACTAAAGTCAATCTGCAGTTGGACACAAATTGCATAAAAAGAATGCTTTCAACATCAGAAGTAATCACCACTTCTTATAAGATAATCCTAAATCTGGCCCTCAAAACTTGAAAAAGCTGATCAAATATAACAATTTGTAAAATGTACTTCCTGCCCTTATAATCAGTTGGACAGAATCCCACATGCACAATACCCCAACTTAATTGGATTAAAAACTTTGACACTAAAACCGAAGAGTAACATTATTTAGTAATGTACTTCCTCAGATTTTAAAAGAAAATTCACTTTCATTGCTTTGCTATGGGCCAAATAAATCTCCCATAATCTGCACTTAATAGAGCTCACTGATCTTGTGCGATGAATGAAAACTGCCACTCAAGACCAAGTTTTGGTCTATCCGAGTCTTCCCAAGGAAAAAGGAAGCTAGATTACTCATTAAAGTGGTAAACGAGCATCAGCTGGAGAAAGTGCAGCAGCAAAACACCTCAGGATCAGTGCACGTCCTGGGAGACAGTGGACTCACAACAGAGACACCTAGAGCAAGAGGCCAGGGGCAAGGCTCCGGGCCAACCGTCCCACGCCTCTGGGAGCGGGCTGGGTGCTGCCCGGCACCAGCGCCCAGACACTCTCGCAGCCCAACCCCCGTAGGAGCAGAGTCGGGGTCGTCGGAAGTGCTAGGCTGACAACCGGGGGACCTACGAGGCCCCTCCCACCGGATCCGCCACGGTGGCCCGGGAGGAGTGGACAGACACCCGGGAAAAACGCTGGCGAGGCTGGGGTGGCGCCGGGGCGCCCGAGGAGTCCCTCTGCCCCAGCCCGTTTCGTCCGTCACCTCACCTCGGCCGGCACCGGCAGGTTCTCCGTCGCCGCCTTCAACTCCAACACCGAGTCCGTCTGCCGGTCGGTCAGCGGCGCCGTCGTGTCGGGTCTCCGATCCCACAGAGCCAGCTTCTCCCGAGCGTCCCGCTCAGCCGCCGTCTCCGACAGCAACAGCGCCGCCTCCGCCATCGCCGCGGCCCCGGCGGCCCTCAGCAGCAGTGGCGTGGAGGGGACCCCCAAAGAGAGGCCAGGACAACTTCCGGGAGAACCCGGGCTTCCAGCACCACAGCGGTGGCGGGGCGGGGCGGGACGGAATACCCTGACCCCGGAAGTTCTTCCATAGCGTGTGGGCGGGACAGAAACCAGGACAGACGTGGCTTTATACGGGGGTACAAATATTTCCGGTTTGGAATTAGAAGAGAGTGAAGGAGAAAGGTTCTGACGGAAATAGAAATGCCCCTACCGGAAGTCTTTTCTTTAACATCAGTAACTTTATTGTTACGTATTGTTAAAATTATGGACAACTGCCCTAAGTCACCTCGCCCGCCAGAGTCTTGGTGAACTCCAGCATCTAGTGCCTTTCTTCTCACAGCTGAGTAGTCTGGGAGTTTAGTGAGATTTTTTCATGTTGGTGTTTCCGCCACTTAGATCAAAACCAATAACAGCAACTTTTCCATCATCCAGTAATATCCCTGTTTAAAAAAAACCAATTTATGGAAACACAAAAAAAAATTATGTGTATGTGTGTTAAACCTTCTCTGTGTATAAGTTGGTTATCTCAGGAATTTATGGTAGTAATGGAAAGACATGTAAAGGGTATATTATTCTGCCACTAAGTCATTGCAGAGATTTGAGCCACAAAATAAATGATAATAGTATCGGATTGTAATCTATATAATAAAATAATTACCCTTTTGTCTATACTGATATAAAAACAGGGAAGAGACAACCTTCTATCTTAGAGAAGAATTCCAAATCAATAAACATAAAAAAAATTAGAGAAATAGAAAAATCATCATTAGGACATCAAAATAATAATTGTAGCAGACAAGATAGACGAATGGATATTAAAATGAGTCATCAAAAGTTTGAGGAGAAATGGAAATTTGCAAAACACCCAAATGATATTGCCAAGTGTGTATTAATAGCAAGGGGAACAGTAACTTCAGAGGGAAGAAACCTGGTAAACCACCTTAACCATGTAATCTAAGTCAACATCATCATAAAACTCCTTGACATAACAATTTGAAAGCATGGTTTACCTTCTGTGGCATTCCTACCAAAAATGGGAAAAACTTATTTTACTCATGAAAAACATCAGATGAATTCAAATTGAAGGACATCCTACAGAATATTGATCAGTATTCTTCCAAAGGTCATGAAAGACCAGGAAAGACGAAGGAACTGTTGTTAGATATTGGAGGAGACTGGGGAGGCATCCCAATACAATGTGGAATCCTGGGGGATTGGATCCTGGGGCAGAAAAAGGAAAATTGTGGTGAAGATAAATTGCAAAATACAGAAATTCAAATAAGGTCTGTAGTTAGGTAATAGTATTGTCCCAGTGTTAATTTCATGTCTTTAATTATATCCATGGTTAGGTAAGATGATAACATTAGGGGGAGCTGTGGGAAGGGCATACCTGAACTCCCTGTACAACTTTTGCAACTTCTCTAAAGTCTAAAATTCTCTTCAAAAATTTCATGTTGTAGAAAACGTTTATCTTCTTGGTGAAAAATGACTGGGTTATGATTAAGACAAATGAAATAGTGTGTGGTCCTATTAACCAAAGTGAACACTCCCAAAGCATTAACAGATGGTTCTTTTTTCTTTGTTTCTTGTGTGTGTGTGTGTGTGTGTGTGTGTGTGTGTGTGTGTATGCACACACATTGACTTTTACACTCAAGAATAAGTATGTTAATCAACTTTCCATTACTGTATTAAATTCCAGAGATAATTATAAAGAGAAAAGTTTTATTCTGACTCAGTTTCAGAGGTTTCAGCCCATAATTACTTGGCTTGGCTGCTTTAGTGAAGAAACACATCATGGAGGGAGCACATGACAAAGAAAAACCACTCGATTCATGGCTAGGAAGCAAAAGAATGAAGAAGAAGGGGCCAGGATCCCACTATCCCCTTCAAGGTCACACCCCAGTGATCTAAAGACCTCCCACTACGCCCAAACTCTTAAAGTTTGCAGAAACTCCTTAGTCAAATTGCCGTTGCTGTGACAAAATACCTGAGATAAGCAACTTAAAAGGAGAAACGATTGATTATGGGTCATGTTTCTGAGATTTCAATCCATGATTTCTTGGCCCGTATTGGCCTTGGGCCTATTGCAAGGCGGCAGGCACATCTCGGCAGAAGTACTTGGCAGAAAGGAAGGCGGGAGAGAAAGAGATCAAAGTGCCCAGGTCCAGCTGTCTCCTTGAAGGGCATGCCCCAGTGACCTCACTTCCTTTCACAAGGTTCCACCTCCAAATGGCACCACAGACTGGTGACCAAGCCATCAGCCCATGGTATGGGGAACTTTCAGATCCGAACTGTAACACTTCCAAGAGCATCTTCCTGGGGAACAAGGCTTCAAAACATGAGCCTTCTGGGAGGACATTAAAGATAAATTGTTAGTTTTTTTTATTTGTTTGGAGGATGGTTTCAATCTTCCTGCCTCAAACTTCCAGGTAGCTGGGAATACAGGTACTTGCCACCGAGTTATCTTTTAAATTATTCAACTCAGCTTCAAAACACTATTTCTCTAGCACATTAATCCACTACCACTTTCTAAAGAAATTCATCTTACAGATATTTACAGACATGTGGCTCTATTTGTCTAAATGCCTAAAACTCACTCTCTTTTCTTCTAGGTAGGCTAATCTCTACAATCTCAGATATAAGATTGAATTCTGTAGAGACAATACCCCAGATATTATCTTTCAAGTAAGCATTTTTACAATGTGATTTTGGTTTGGAGAGGTTTTATTTTGTTTGTTTGTTTGTTTTGGTACTGGGGATTGAATCCAGGAGTGCTTAATCACTGAGCACCACCCCCTGTCTTTTTTATTTTGAGACAAAATCTTACTAAGTTGCAGAGGGTCTCCCTAAATTGCCAAAGCTGGCCTCGAACTTATGATCCTCCTGACTCAGCCTCCTGAGTTGCTGAGATTACAGGCATATACCACTGTGCTGGAGTCTCACAATGTGTTTCTACTGCAGTTTTTCCTAAATCCATGATCACTGTATTTCGATCTAAACATATTTTTAGTTCTATAAAAAAGTTTTTCAACTTGTGTTTCATGAGGCTAACAGTGGACAGTGCAGATGATGATACCTAGGAAAAGACTTGGGCCAAGGCTAGATGGAGTTCTACTTAGCTGCTGTGTGGTCACTTGAGGAGAGAGGAAGGCAGACAGGAGCACAGTGAAACCTGGTCTATTTGTGGGAGGGCTGTAGGGCCTGGAGGATCCACCAGTCACCTGCTGGCTCTGCAGAGAGGAGAAGGGGAGACAATGAAACAGAGACATCAGGTTTTATGGGGTATTTTTATTCTGTAGAACATTAGCATAGAAGTACAGACATTTAAACAATATGGTGTTGCTCAAAATGTAGTGGAAAATGTGGCTTACCACATACGGTGGTTCACCCTCTGCCAGATACTAGTGTCTTTTCTGTATGGATAAACATTGTCTAGTTTCTCCCACCCCCAAAATAAAAATTGCCTATAATGGATTCACTGTTATACCAGGGAAGTGAAGGGGAAAGAGTCCTCTTGTATTTTATTTTACTTTATGTGGATGTTGAAATGTCCTTTAAAGAAGGAAATTTGTCAACATCTAGCAAGCGAGTTGTACAAACTAAATTTCTTCTTCTTATGTCATTATTGTAGGTGGTGATGAGCTTTTCCCTGAATCACTGGACACTATAACAGATACAATTAAAGTGTTAATTTCCTACTACAATTCTCACAGTATCTTTATTCAAGTGTTGGTAATTGTTTCAATAAATCATTCGAATTGATACAATAAACACTTCTATTGCCTATGTCCATAAGTACAAGGTACACATATATATTCATGATGTGTGTGTGAGAGAGAGAATGAGAAGAAAATTTTACATGGACCATCTTCAGGAGAGGACAAAATGAAGTCGGAGCAGTCTCGTCCCCAAATGATGGAGGTCCCCCTATCAACAGGAAGAAGAAGAGGAAAGGAGAGGGGGAGAGAAAACAACAAAGAACAGGAGAACTGACTAAAAAAATGTAAAAACAAACAAAAAAGTGACCCCCCATTATTGTGGACAACTTCTTGTTTCTAAGATTTTATTCAGATTTTTGTTGTTGTTGTTTTGATACTGGGATATTGAGCCTGGGGGCTCTTTACCACTGAACTACATCTCCAGCCCTTTTAATTTTGAGATGGAGCCTTGCCTAATTGCCCAGGCTGGCCTGCAACATGTAATCCTCCCTGCCTCAGCCTCTCTAGTAGCCGGGATTACAGGCACGCCACCATGGCACCTGGTTCCCAGATTTCACTTTTGGTCTCTTGATCATAACTATAAGTAGGCAGGGTAGGGGTTGCCATCTTCCATTTAGAGATAAGCAAATTAAAAACAGGGAGATTAAGGGAATTATTGAAGAGTTAGGGGAGGGTAAAGGGGAAAGAATCCTATTTTATTTTATGTGGGTATTGAAATGCCCTTTGAAAAAGGAAATTTGCCAACACCTATCAAATCAGAGACTGGAGAAATGGACAGAGAGAGGAAGTAAAAGAGCAGAGCCATTTGATCCTGCAGTTCTATCTCTGAGAATGTATCTTAGAGAAATCTCATGTATTTTTTTAAAAAGAAGAAGAGGAGGAGGAGGAGGAAGAGGAGAAAGTATACACACAGGATACTTTGTTATTGGGAAAAATTGGAGATAACCTAGATATTTATCAACAGGGAAAGAGGTTTTTTTTTTTTT